TGCTGGCACCCGCCCACCCGAATAGAATCACTACTCTCGACGGGTCTGACCTAGAGTATGTGGACAACTACAAATACCTAGGTGACTGGTTAGACTGTAAACTCTCCTTCCAAACTCACATTAAGCATCTCCAATCCAAAGTTACATCTAGAATTGTCTTCCTATTTCGCAACAAAGCCTCCTTCACTCATGCTGCCAAACATGCCCTCGTAAAACTGATTGTCCTACCGATCCTTGACTTCAGCGATATCATTTACAAAATAGCCTCCAACACTCTACTCAGCAAATTAGATGTAGTCTATCACAGTGCCATCCGTTTTGTCACCAAAGCCCCATATACTACCCACCACTGTGATCTGTACGCTCTTGTTGGCTGGTCCTCACTACATATTCGTCGCCAAACCCACAGGCTCCAGGCCATCTATAAATCACTGCTAGGCAAATCCCCGCCTTATCTTAGCTCATTGGTCACCATAGCAACACCCACCCGTAGTATGCGCTCCAGCAGGTATATCTCACTGGTCATCCCCAAAGCCAACACCTCCTTTGGCCGCCATTCCTTCCAGTTCTCTGCTGCCAATGACTGGAACGAACTGCAAAAATCTCTGAAGCTGGAGACTCTTATCTCCCTCACTAACTTTAAGCATCAGTTGTCAGAGCACCTTACCGATCACTGCACCTGTACACAGCCCATCTGAAATTAGCCCACCCAACTACCTCCTTCCCATATTATTTATTTTGCTCATTTGCACCCCAGTATCTCTATTTGCACATCATCTCTTGCACATCCATCATTCCAGTGTTAAATACTAATTCTAATTATTTTATTGCCTTGCCTCCATAACTTGCTACATTTGCACACACTGTATATATATTTTCTGTTGTATTTTTGACTTTATGTTTTGTTTTACCCCATATGTAACTCTGTGTTGTTGTTTTTATCGCACTGCTAAGCTTTATCTTGGCCAGTTCGCAGTTGTAAATGAGAACTTGTTCTCAACTGGCTTACCTGGTTAAATAAAGGTGAAATAAAATAAAATAAATAAATGGGGTACTCTGTTCACAACGTTGACATCAGCAAACCGCTCGCCTACACGATGCCATACATGCTGTCTGCCATCTGCCCGGTACAGTTGAAACCAGGATTCATCCGTGAAGAGCACACTTCTCCAGCGTGCCAGTGGCCATCGAGGGGGAGCATTTGCCCACTGAAGTTGGTTACGACGCCGAACTGCAGTCAGGTCAAGACCTTGGTGAGGACAACGAGCACGCATATGAGCTTCCCTGAGAAGGTTTCTGACAGTTTGTGAAGACATTTTTTGGTTGTGCAATCCCACAGTTTAATCAGCTGTCAGGGTGGCTGATCTCAGACGATCCCGCAGGTAAAGGAGACGGATGTGGAGGTCTTGGGCTGACGTAGTCACACGTGGTCTGCGGTTGTGAGGCCGAATGGACGTCCTGCCAAATTCTCAAAAATGACGTTGGAGGCGGCTTATGGTAGAGGAATGAACATTCAATTCTCTGGCAACAGCTTTGGTGGACATTCCTGCAGTCAGCATGCCAATTGCATGCTCCCTCAAAGCTTGAGACATCTGTGGCATTGTGTTGTTTGACAAAACTGCACATTTTAGAGTGGCCTTTTATTGTCCCCAGCACAAGGTGCACCTGTGTAATAATCATGCTGTTTAATCAGCTTCTTGATATGCCACACCTGTCAAGTGTATGGATTATCTTGGCAAAGGAGAAATGCTCACTAACAGGGATGTAAACAAATTAGTGCACAAAATGTTTGTGCGTATGGAACATTTCTGGAATCTTTTATTTCAGCTCATGAAACATGGGACTTTACATTATATATTTGTTCAGTGTAGTTTACTTAATTATAGTTACTTTGAAAAAGTAGTTCACTACATCCAAACTACTTCGAGAAAAAATATAATATCTAAATTTGAAATGTCATAGATTACAAATTGCAAGAAAGATCACTCAGGAGTCAGATGTTAACATAGTGTGTAATTTAGTCTATTAAACATTTAAACTGTTTCAAGTGAAAATTAGGCTGGTCTGCTGAAAAATAAAGGAAATCTTGACTACTTTACCCATATTCTCTGTTCTTTTAGTAAAAAAGTAGTGTGTAGTTCCAGTAGTTAGCTACACCACTACATGGCAAAAAAGTAATTAAATACTGAAAACAATACCAACATTTGAATTTAGTTAAACTACCACCAAACTACAGCAAAATGTAATTAAATTACTAGTTGAATTACATGTAGTTCACGACTCCCCATCATTGACTATTACACATCATTTTGTATAAGAACTCTATTTACTCAGCGATTGCAATTTCTAATGATGATAGCATAAAACATTTTAATAATGGTTATGCGAAGTGCCCATCAAGAAGTTATGTATCAGCACACCCACATTGTGTGGGTCTCCCTTCATCTCGATCAGACAAGATTGGGTGTGGAATTAGTTTTATAAGAGCGACAAAAACTGCTGAATCAATATAAGGGTCTTTTAAATAAAATTTCCAAAGCTCTTTCAAAATGATATTCAAGAAAATTCATAGATATGTTCATATTCACAGAATGTCATGAGCCTCGTTTATACCTGGTGCTAACATGCAATTTATCCTGATCCTGTCCACATTCTGATTGTGCCCACATTGTAGCCGTTGCATCTACACATGGTAGTAAAATCTATCTCTTATCCATCCACTGTGCCTCCCTGTATACAGATTATTTGACAGATATTCTTTGAAAACAATATGAATGTATTTATTTTTAGACAATTATTGATGCCATAAGTCAATGGTGCTACCTGTCAATGATTTTAGAGATCGGTATAATGATGATTTAAATGGTGTGACCATCCAGATCTGTTTACACTTGATTGATATCCAGATACAATGGGTCCCTGACTACCTCCGGAGGTGGTCAGGAAGATCTGATCACAATCAGATCACAATGCATATTTTAATTGCCTACACCTGTCTAAAAATGTGGGCACATCAGAATGTGGACAATATCAAGACAGAGGACAAATGTTACAACCAGGTATAAATGGGGCTATTGTGAGCAACTAGTATTACCGAAGAAATGTCTCTGAACTGTGTTGAACCTAGTTTTTCAACGGCATTAGTAGAGTGTGGGCTGAAACCATGTTTGAAACACATTTTCCACAGAAAGGAGATTTCTGCATTTTCAAAGGTATTTTTGAAGGTATAGACTTTATTGTCAGGTAAAATGTCAAGTGTGTATTCTCTACATAAATAACAACCACATGAATCAACAAACAGTACATGGCTATAATGGAAAATACAACGTCTCAGTAGGTGAAATCACAATGTACTTGGTCAAGGATAGCGAGATGACAATGGTGCTCTTTTCGTTTCTTAAAAAGGAGGCTGCGTATTCACTCAAAATAATGAACAGAGCCCTCAAAAACTGTATGAAAACTACCATATTAAGGAACTTAGTCAACTCTGCTGCTATATACAGAAAACAATAAGAAAGGTCACAGGTAATCAGTACAGTCCTATGGGTATCAAGGGGCAACACCAAACAAAATGTGATATCATTTTTGTATGAATTGAAATTGAATTGACCAAATAAAACAAAACATCAAAATATATAAAAACGTATCATCTTAATTGGGAACATAAAACGGACCTGTCCATAACCAACCAAAGGTCCAACATTAGATTTGAAAAATAATACATTAACATATTCCTCATTGTGTTTGTGTTAGAGTGCTATGGTGAAAATGCATAGAATGTGTCCTTCGAAGAAACAATGTGTCCTAAGCACAACGGGCCACGTACTTGCCAGGTTTCATAGGTACAACTGATTCATCCAACTATACTCTGCCTTGTAGCATTTTAAAATAAATGTGACTCACATTTGAAGCTTATAGACCAAGGTCTCTCTCTATATTCTCATTAGACCCACACAGCTCAAAGTGCATCTATTCTCTACAACTGCAAAAATCCACTTCCAACTAAACACCTCCCTCTTTCTTTCACTGTAATGATAAATATCAATTTGCTAAACATTGCCAAAATTGACTGACAATATCTAAGTACATTCTATCATATACTATGACTCCTTTTGTGCCAGGGATATTCTTCAAATTTGAATGTTTTTCTACATACACACACACTGACATTGTGAATCAAAGTGTGAAACTTTAATTCATTTATCCCACAAATATTAAGACGGATCAATCTATTAACATTGTCGTTGCGACAAGGATTGTTGGATGAAATCACATTCAAATCATTAGCTCTGTTGAAGACTCTGAGATCAAAGGTGACCAAGCAGCACTACATCATAATGGACAACTCAATCTCTCCGTCTCCACTTCAAACAAGACAGGGTCTCAGCAAGAGCTCATTTTAATTAGCCTAGAATGGGCTGCACGTCGGTCCGAGATGAAAAAAAAGACAAGAAACATGGATTTTTGGAGCATCTCTCACCCTGAAGGAGGGTCAAAGAGAAGAAGGTGTAATCTGCAGCCGCAACGGGAATAATTATGTTAATTCCTCTTTTGGAGTTTGTTTTCCTTCAAGGCACAGGGGAAAAAAAGGGAACGGGGGTAGACAAAACAGAGGAGGATAGTTTAGACATATTTTCTCCCTCTTTTTAGCAAAACGCCAGTTGACGTGATTATCGAAAAACTTCCATCCAATTGAATTAGCAAGACTTGCAATCAAAAAAATTATAATATGCTGCTAATTTGTCTAATTTTAACAGATATCCCCTAGAAGATCTTGTGGAACCACCAAGATTTCAACTCGGCTAGTAAACAACGGCAACAAATCACTCCCTATTTTTTAGAATGAATGTCCCAACGTCCAATACGATTTTAAACGGTCAATTTTGGTTTTGAGAATTGCATACGTTTTTCGTCACAACCAATAAATTATGTATCTGCAACCAAATTCAGTGCAACTGTACCTTAATAATAACACAGGACGAGTCTAAACACAGACCGGCCTATGACTCGCCAACCCACGTCACTACGTTGCCTTTGACGACATCGGTGATCTCGCAGTTGAGCTTGTTGAGACGACCGTCCAGGATGAAGATAGACTCCCTGGACGGGGTCATGAGGTACTGTCCGAAAAGTCCACTGCCGGTCATCACTCGGTTCCTACTGCTCCACGGCCAATCGGAAGTCTTGGTGGCCTCCTTCAGACTCTTGATCATCTTCACATTGCCTGTGCTCAGCTCGACGTATAGAGAGTCCGTTTGGCTTCCCGAACTTCCGAAGACGTTGTACTGGTGGACCTCGGTGAACGACGGCTGGAAGACCACATCAGACAGGTGAAGGTTGGTGTGGATGTCGAAGGGCTCGCCAATCTCTCCGCGCACCGTGATCTGCTGGATCCTCATCAAGCCATCATGGTCGTCCACCGTGACCAGGTAGTGTCCGTCCGGAGACATGTACGGGGTGCCGGTGACGTCCCCGTTGTGTCTAATCACGGAGTCTGTCACACTGTCCACGATGAGTTGGGGCTGGGTGGCACCCATGGAATCGGGCCTGCAGTTGACGAAGTAGTAGCCGCCCAGGTGGGTGTAAGCCAGAGACTTGGGGATGCAGTTGTACTTGAGCAGGCTGATGTTCTTCACTGACAACGTGGTCTCCAGGTCGATCTTGTGGAGCGCCGGTTCATTTCTGTGGAGGACAATTCCAAATCTAGATAGAGAAGGAGACATTTTGAATGTTACTATACTTGTTCACATGTTTTTATGGCACAAATAAAACCATTAAATGTACTGTAGATGGTCAACACAAAAAAAAGAGAATAAAACATTTATTTTATGCTTCTTTATTAATTAATTAATTAATTTTTGTTGCACATTACACCTACAGGCTTGAATTAATTTTCACTTGCTTCCTGACGTCACACTTCATAGTGGTGCGACATTAGAATTAAAGCCAACCTTCATCAAGGCTACAGTTACATTTACATTTGTGGACTGTCGAGAGAAGTACTAGGTCTGTTATCTTCACGACTATTGAATAGTTGCACATTTTCCCCGCTCACGCTGTAATTAAAATCTTAACAGTGACAGGGACCTCCATTTGCATCACCTCTCCTATTACTATACTGTGAATGGACTAAATAGTTTTGACAGAGGTGTGTGTGACTCTCTTAGCTGCAATATCTCAGTTCCTCAAAGAAAAGGCCTTAGGATTGGTTTGAGAAGAAGAGAGGGGTGGATACGGTCTACACATTTCACATTTCAGTGGCCTTTTTTTTATTGCCTCAGATGAGCAATCTCTGCAAGCTGAGTTGAAATCATCTGCCCTATGCTTCACAGTAATAGATTTCAATGGGCATATTAATGATTGAAAATACTATATTATACATAAAAAATCCAAAGAGGAGTGATAATGACACATTCGAATTCTGATATGCAAGACTGGAGGGAGAATGTGAGGGGCCGACATGGCAAAATTAAATCTGAATGCTGTCTGATCAATTCTGACATGCACTTAAATCTCGGTAAAATCTTTCTTCTTTTATGTGATTTTAAATGTCCCCCACTGTCTGTTCATGTGGACAGAAAATTACTGTTAGAGAGTGATGGAGCACCTTATCAGCACTGTGAAGTAAAGCATTGATCCAGAGATTGTATCGTCCATTTGGGGCAATAGGACTGGGGACTTGGAAATCAATGGGACTGATAGTGAACGTGAACTAGGTGCTGTATTGGGTCATGAAATCGGAGGGCATGCATGGTCCATTGCCATGGCCTTTATCTTTTGATATATAAATACCCCTGGATTTTGAGTAATTGGGAGTTTCCAGAATGTTCGAACTTCCAACACAAAATCCCCAGGATTTCTTCCCAGGGAGATTTTGATCCTAACACAAGCACCTTCAAGTAAAGAAAAGCCACAGGGAGTGAAATTAAGTCAAAGCTAACACAGTTTGAGAAAATAACTATTATTTGATCTATGGGAGAATGAGAAAAAAATGAGAATTCAATTATGTTGTGGGTGGACTCCTGATAGGGAGAAAGGAGTACTATGTCAGTGCAAGCAACTGTAACTACTGCTATGAGAATGTATCAATAGTATGGTATACATTTTATGACATCCCTACTCACCATGATCAATGTCCCTACTCTCTACAAATGTGTACATTAAGACAGATCAGTGAATTGAGCACATCTACAGTGACATAAAGCAGAGTGTTTGATATATGAAGGTCAATATGACAATTTTGCCTTCAGACTTATTTTTGCTAAAAATGAGTAGTGCTGAAGTTTGTTAGAAAAAGTTATTGAGAAATATGGGCTTGTTTGTGTTCTCTATGAACAGTAAAACTAACATCTGGGCTGGCTTTGCTTGTAAACCCATATCATATTTCAACACATTGAGCAAAATATAAATTGCCAGTTGCCTTTTGTTGTTTTGTTTTCAGCATGCCTCCCATAATTGGTAAACTATACAGATTTTTACAAATACTGTGGAATTATGTGAAAAGTAACACTTGTGTGTTGAGTTATTGTCACGGTTTCGGCCGAGGCTGCCTCTCTCCCTTGTTCGGGCAGGCTTCGGCGTTCGTTGTCTCCGGAGTACTAGCTGCCACCGTTGTATGTTTCATGTTCGTTTGCTTTTGTCTGAGTGTTGTCACACCTGTTTTCAGTTAGTGTCATTAGTGTCCTATTTAGTTCCCGTTGTGTGTGTCAGGTGTTGTGTATTATTGTTTTGTGTCAGACGTGTTTTCGCTCGGTTGAGCTTCTCTCCACTGCGCTGGAGTTTTCGCACATGTTTGTGCGCTGTTTTGTTTCCATTTCGCCTTCGTGCGTATTTCGCCTTCGGGCAAGTGTTGTCCGTTTGCCGTGTTTCGGCTCAATACAAGTTTATTGGATTATCCGTCTGCGTCCTGCATTTGATTCCGCCACTGCACCTACAGCACACCGTGACAGAATAATACACCACCTATGGAATCAGCAGGAGCCGCAGCAGCCCAGGCGACTCTGGAGGACAGGGTCCGGGAGCAAGGGGACCAGATCCTGCAGATGGGGACCGCACTGCAGGAGGTGATCACCACCATCCGAGGCTGGGGGACGCCTCCACCGCCACCCTCCGTGCCAGCACCATCAGCCAGTCAGCCTAGTCCCGCACCAGGACACCATCACGTACAACGAGTTCTCCCGCCGCTTCAAGGCGGTGTTTGACCATCCCCCGGAGGGGAAAGCGGCGGGGGAGCGTCTGGTCTTTCTCCGGCAGGGGAGGAGGAGTGCTCAGGAGTTCGCCCTCGAATTCCGTACTCTAGCGGCAGATGCAGGGTGGAATGATCGGGCCCTCGTCGATCACTACAGGTGTAGTCTACGAGAGGACGTCCGTCGGGAGCTGGCCTGTAGGGACACCAGCCTCACGTTCGACCAGTTGGTCGACATGTCCATCAGGCTGGATAACCTGCTAGCTACCCGCGGGCGTTCCGAGGGGGGTCCGTCCATTTCACCCTCCAGCGCTTCCGAGCCGTGCCCCATGGAGCTCGGGGGCGCTGGCGCTAGAGAGAGGAGGGGTCGGCTTACTAGGAGGTCCATCCCTTGCACCAACTGTGGTCGGGGAGGACACACCGCGGCTAGGTGCTGGGGATGGCCTCCTAGGGGAGAGGACGACAGGTCCCGCACTGGGGATTCCCTCCAGGTGAGTAGGCGCCCCACTCACCCAGAGCTCTCTGTTGCACATTTTTGTATGCCTGTGCGTTTTCCACAGGTAGCACCTCATTCCCAGCATAAGGCGCTGGTAGATTCAGGCGCGGCTGGGAATTTTATTGATAAAAAGTTTTGTTTAGCGTTAGGGATTCCCCTTCTTCCTGTTGATGTTCCTTTCCCCGTTCATGCCCTAGATAGCCGTCCGTTGGGTACGGGCTTGATCAGGGAGGTCACGGCGCCACTTAGGATGTGTGCGCAGGGGGGTCATCAGGAGATGATTCAGCTATTCCTGATTGACTCTCCTGCTTATCCGGTGGTGCTGGGCATGCCCTGGTTGAGTACCCATAACCCATCCATTTCGTGGCAGGAGAGGGCTCTGATGGAGTGGTCTGCTCAGTGTGTGGGTAGATGTTTGGGCGTTTCCGTAGGGGCTACCTCGGTGGAGAGTCCAAACCAGGTGCCCGCATTGCACGTTCCCCCTGAGTATGGGGATTTGGCTATTGCGTTTAGTAAGGCGAGGGCGACGCAGTTGCCGCCCCATAGGCAGGGAGATTGTGCGATAGACCTCCAGGCAGGAGCTGCGCTCCCACGGAGCCATGTGTATCCTCTGTCTCAAGAGGAGAAGAAAGCTATGGAGATTTACATAGACGAATCTCTGAGACAAGGATACATACGGCCTTCCACTTCCCCTGCGTCCTCGAATTTCTTTTTTGTGAAGAAAAAGGATGGTGTTTTGCGCCCGTGCATCGATTACCGTGGTCTCAATCAGATTACGGTGAAGTACAGTTATCCACTCCCGCTGATTGCGACCATGACTGAGTCGTTGCATGGGGCGCGTTTCTTCACTAAATTAGATCTCAGGAGCGCGTACAACTTGGTGCGCATCAGGGAGGGCGATGAATGGAAGACAGCCTTTAGTACCACCTCGGGCCATTACGAGTATCTGGTCATGCCATACGGGTTGATGAACGCTCCGTCAGTTTTCCAATCATTCGTGGATGAGATCTTCAGGGACATGGAGGGGCAGGGGGTGGTTGTGTACATTGATGACATTCTCGTGTACTCGCCTACCCGTGTCGAGCATGTGGCCCTGGTGCGTAGAGTGTTGCGGAGGCTGGTGGAGCACGACCTGTATGTGAAGGCAGAGAAGTGTCTGTTTTTCCAGGAGTCGGTCTCCTTTTTGGGGTATCAGTTGTCTGCGTCAGGGGTGAAGATGGAGGTAGACCGGGTGTCGGCCGTGCGTAATTGGCAAACACCAACCACTGTGAAGGAGGTGCAGCAGTTTTTGGGGTTTGCGAATTACTACCGGAGGTTTATCCGGGGTTTTGGACAGGTGGCAGCTCCCATCACGTCTCTTTTGAAGGGGGGTCCGGTGCGTCTGCAGTGGTCGGCCGAGGCGGACAGGGCGTTTGGGAGGCTGAAGGACCTGTTTACCTCGGCCCCGGTGCTGGCGCATCCGGATCCCTCTTTGCCGTTCCAGGTAGAGGTGGACGCGTCAGAGGCCGGTCTAGGAGCCGTGCTTTCACAACGGTCTGGCGCGCCACCTAAACTCCGCCCCTGTGCTTTTTATTCTAAGAAGCTCAGTCCGGCGGAGCGGAACTATGACGTAGGGGACAGGGAGATGTTAGCCGTGGTACAGGCTCTAAAGGTGTGGAGGCACTGGCTTGAGGGGGCTCAACACCCTTTCCTCATTTTGACGGACCACCGTAACCTGGAGTACATCCGGGCGGCGAGGAGGCTGAACCCTCGCCAGGCAAGATGGAATATGTTCTTGACCAGGTTTACTTTTAAGATCACGTACATCCCTGGGTCACAGAATGGTAAGGCAGATGCGCTGTCTCGGCGGTATGACACGGAGGAGAGGTCCGTGGAGCCCACTCCCATACTGCCGGAGTCGTGTCTGGTGGCACCGGTAGTGTGGGAGGTCGATGCTGAACTCGAGCGGGCGTTACGCACCGACCCTAGTCCACCACAGTGCCCGGAGGGTCGGAAGTACGTTCCGCTCGAGGTTCGGGATCGATTGATCTATTGGGCTCACACGTCACCCTCCTCTGGACATCCGGGTATCGGCTGGACAGTGCACTGTCTTAGTGCCAAGTACTGGTGGCCCACGTTGGCAAGGGATGTGAGGGTTTATGTTTCCTCCTGCTCGGTGTGCGCCCAGTGTAAGGCGCCTAGACATCTGCCTAGGGGTAAGTTACTACCCCTGCCCGTGCCACAACGACCATGGTCCCACCTCTCGGTGGATTTCCTTACTGACCTTCCTCCGTCACAGGGGAATACCACTATACTGGTCGTTGTGGACCGGTTTTCTAAGGCCTGTCGTTTGCTCCCCATGCCGGGCCTTCCTACCGCCCTGCAAACTGCCGAAGCCCTATTCACCCATGTGTTCCGGCACTACGGGGTACCCGAGGATATTGTGTCTGATCGGGGTCCCCAATTTACCTCCAGAGTCTGGAGGGCCTTTATGGAGCGGTTGGGGGTCTCGGTGAGCCTCACCTCGGGTTACCACCCGGAGAGTAATGGGCAGGTGGAACGTGTAAACCAGGATGTGGGCAGGTTTCTTAGAACATACTGCCAGGACCGGCCGGAGGAGTGGGCAAGGTACGTTCCCTGGGCCGAAATGGCCCAGAATTCCCTACGCCATTCCTCCACTAACCTAACCCCTTTCCAATGTGTGTTAGGTTACCAGCCGGTTCTGGCACCCTGGCAGCAGAGCCAGATCGAGGCTCCTGCGGTGGATGAGTGGGCGAGGCGCTCGGAGGAGACATGGAACGCTGCACACGTCCACCTGCAGCGGGCCCTCCGACGTCATAAGGCGAGCGCTGATCTCCACCGCAGTGAGGGACCGGTGTACGCACCTGGTGATCGAGTCTGGCTCTCTACCAGGAACCTGCCCCTCCGCCTGCCCTGTCGGAAACTGGGTCGGCGGTTTGTAGGGCCATTTAAAGTCCTGGGAAGGTTGAACGAGGTGTGTTATAAATTACAGCTACCTGTTGAATATAAAAGTATTAACCCCTCGTTCCATGTGTCCCTTCTCAGGCCGGTGGTAGCTGGCCCACTCCAAGACAGTGAGATCAGGGAGACTCCTCCGCCCCCATTGGACATCGAGGGGGCACCGGCGTACTCCGTGAGGTCCATCTTGGATTCGAGACGTCGGATGGGGGGTCTCCAGTATCTAGTGGAGTGGGAGGGGTACGGTCCGGAGGAGCGGTGCTGGGTGCCGAGGGGAGACATTTTGGACCCGTCTCTCCTGACGGAATTCCATCGTGAGCACCCGACGCGCCCGGCTCCGCGTCCTCCGGGTCGTCCCCGAGGCCGGAGTCAGCGCACGTCTGGAGCCGCGCGTCAAGGGGGGGGTACTGTCACGGTTTCGGCCGAGGCTGCCTCTCTCCCTTGTTCGGGCAGGCTTCGGCGTTCGTTGTCTCCGGAGTACTAGCTGCCACCGTTGTATGTTTCATGTTCGTTTGCTTTTGTCTGAGTGTTGTCACACCTGTTTTCAGTTAGTGTCATTAGTGTCCTATTTAGTTCCCGTTGTGTGTGTCAGGTGTTGTGTATTATTGTTTTGTGTCAGACGTGTTTTCGCTCGGTTGAGCTTCTCTCCACTGCGCTGGAGTTTTCGCACATGTTTGTGCGCTGTTTTGTTTCCATTTCGCCTTCGTGCGTATTTCGCCTTCGGGCAAGTGTTGTCCGTTTGCCGTGTTTCGGCTCAATACAAGTTTATTGGATTATCCGTCTGCGTCCTGCATTTGATTCCGCCACTGCACCTACAGCACGCCGTGACAGTTATGAGCTGTATACTTTGTTTTAGTTTGTCTTGCATACTTTATAATAAGCCAGGAGTTTGCTTTTTGGTTCACTTGAACTCAATTCCTAAGCAGAGGAAAATAAGGATGTTGTCTCTGTAATAGGCAAAACCATTTTTTTTTATTGGTTTAATATTTATTTGTTAAACCCACCACTCAGCCCAAAAAACATGCCAACTATAATCTTTTTGCTATTTCCATTAGGCTTACTCTACAATTAATAGCAAATTGACAAAAAGCAAGGCAGAGCAAGATGTATACCATCTACGGAACAATATCAAATAAATTCGTTTGCTTACTAGCAGAAATGTGTGACGTTTAGTCAATTATTTTAATGAATGTGAGCTCCTAAAGTTGTTTGTTATGTCTTGCAGGGTGTATTCTGGGAATACCTGGAAGATAAGAAACATTTTAGAACTAGAAGTCCCCCACTGTACTCCTATGTTTGTAATGTAGTGTACAGTAAATCAACTTGCATACAATATGTCATGACACGTTCATAAACCATATATAACACATATGCAGCATATAAACATAGATTAAATGCTTCTGTCTACCACCACAAATGTATCATTGCAGTACTGTAACATAATGAAAACATCAACTTGCGGTGCTTGACATACGCATGTAAGAAATGATTATGCGCACACTGCTTATGAAAGTGGTATGTATGGGTTATGAATGTGTCATGAAGTCCTTATGTCATTTTGTCTAACCTTCCTCCAACATGGAAATAAAAATCACATTTTAAATAATGTTCTCTCACTTCATGCATTTTATTGACGTACTGATGTATTGTTACCTAACATAAATATTAAAGAGTGTCTTCAAGCTATGACATAAGCCAGCTTTCAGTACAGTGCATAGTGATGTGACTTGTTGAGCCACTGCGATAACCCTACTGCTAATACTACAAATTCTTGTTGAAGCTAGCAGCGTGGTGCTGGTTTACATCCTAGAAATCATTGGTCTAAACCTTAATAGTGTACTGATCGGATGATCTGCCAAATGCATTATGCTGCTTTGATATACTGTAAGATATTGATGAGATATAGACAAAATACTATGTTTATGTAAGAATGCCAGCAATTACTTACTGTAGAATGAAGAAAGGCTAAAGAATATATACTACCATGAACTATGTTCAAATCCACCGACAGACTCTTATTTTCCATTGTCCATTCACTGACAGAAATGTAAAAACATGACGTACAATACAGCCACCAACACGTTCATCACTGTCGACTCCCCACCAAGTGAGTCAGATACAACAGCACAAAAGATTGGACCGGAATTGAATTCCAAGACCACAATAATAGAGTTGGCAAAAACATTCAATAGAGACTCTATGCGCCCTAAGAGCACAATCAAGGGCTCTTGTAAGCCGCGTTTTCAGACGTTTCAAAGAGATAGGGTATTTAAAAAGGCCTTGTGCACAATGCCATATCCTTGGCTCCCCAAAGCCCCGCCCGGGTGGTTATTCCTGACAAATCTAAAAGCCTTCAAATTCTTTGTATATTGTGATGGTCAGTGCTCTGAGACTTCTGTTTTGTGCTACGAGGTGCACTGACTGCATATTGGTTTGGGGGAGTTGTTGGGGACACCCACAATGGATTGATCTTGGCTGAGGCTAAGGGAGTTATTAAACATGAAAAGCTATCAATAGGTGCACTTGATTGAGTTTGATCTATCCAGAGTGGGCATGGTTTGACCTTTCCATTGGCCTAAATGGTGGCTATCACTAATTTCGCAACAAAGCCTCCTTCACTCATGCTGCCAAACATGCCCTCGTACAACTGACTGTCCTACCGATCCTTGACTTCGGCGATGTCATTTACAAAATAGCCTCCAGGGAGGTTCAATCTACACCTAGGGCAAAATTCATGGTCACAGATTAAAGCCTATTTGTGGACTAAATGTAGATTCCATGTAGATTCTCAACTGAACATGCTTCTGAGTAGGCATAATCTGGCACCAGGAAACTAGTACCTAGTGTAAGATTACTTTTGGACACAAGGGACATTATTAGTTTTGAATCAGTTTTGAGTCTGGGTTTTTTATAAGCAGTGGTGTTATTTGTATCAAGTGTTGTTATTGTATCTATATCAGCCTTTCTTAAAGTATGGGTTGTGACCCAAAGTGGGTAGCGGACCTGTTCATGGTGGGTCGCGACGTGTCAGATAAATGTATAATTATTTCATGAATTACTGGAATTTATTTGGTCAAGTGCAACGGCACTCTCTGTTCAGTACGCTCTATGCTTTGCAGCGGTGTCTCCTAGGTTGCCAGGTCAAGCAGACATTTCTAACCAATGACCACTCAAAACCTGCCCAAAATGCCTGAAACTAGCCCAAATTGTTTTTCCACAGCAAGAGAGGAGTTGCCACATTGATACAACAAACCTTTTTTCCATAACGTTATCGAGCCAATTAAGAAGGAATATCCACATAACGACGTTAGAAGCAAAATTCGATTTTCATCAAAATAATGATTATTGCGAACTATGACAAATTTGAATATGAAAAGATAATTCGCCCTTATTAAACTCGCCAGATCATTTTCCTGTCACACCCTGATCTTTCACCTGTCTTTGTGATTGTCTCCACCCCCCTCCAGGTGTCGCCCATCTTCCCCATTATCCCCAGTGTATTTATACCTGTGTTCTCTATTTGTCTGTTGCCAGTTCGTTTTGTTTCGTCAAACCTACCAGCGTTTTTCCCCTTGCGCCTGTCTTTCTCAAGTTCCTGTTTTCTAGTTTTCCCGGTTTTGACCATTCTGCTTGCCCTGACCCTGAGCCTGCCTGCCGTTCTGTACCTTGTCACACCACCCTGGATTATTGACCTCTGCCTGCCCTGATCCTGAGACTGCCTGCCGTTCTGTACCTTTTGGACTCTGATCTGGATTACAGACCTCTGCCTGCCCTTGACCTGTTGTTTGCCTGCCCCCTGTTTTTGTAATAAACTTTTGTTACTACTACACTGTCTGCATCTGGCTCTTCTCCTGAAATGTGATAGTACGAACTGGCCATGACTGACCCAGCAGACTCGGACCAGCTCCGCAACGTCATCTCCTGCCAAGGAGCCACCATTGGAAGGCACGAGGAGTTGCTTCGTGGTCTCATGGAAGGGTTCCAGACCTTGGCCGAACGCCATGACCGAGTGTTTAACACATTGGTGGATAATTGGTAATTCCGCAGGTTGTCTGTTAGGCAGCCTACCACAACGGTAACCTCCCAGCTCCTCAGTAACTGGGCTGTTAGCAGCACGGCCTCCTGGCTACCCCACTTTGCCGAGAACCCCGCTTACCTCCCCCGGAACGCTTCGCTGGAGAGTCGCGAATCTGTCTGGCATTTCTCGCTCAGTGTTTGCTCATAATTGAGCTGCAGCCCTCCTCCTTACATTTACATTTTAGTCATTTAGCAGACGCTCTTATCCAGAGCGACTTACAGTTAGTGAATACATATATTTTTTATACTGGCCCCCCGTGGGAATCGAACCCACAACCCTGCCGTTGCAAACACCATGCTCTATCAACTGAGCTACATCCCTGCCGGCCATTCCCTCCCCTACCCTGGACGACACTGGGCCAATTGTGCGCCGCCCATGAGTCTCCCGGTCGCGGCCGGCTGCGACAGAGCCTGGATTCGAACCAGGATCTCTAGTGGCACAGTTAGCACTGCGATGCAGTGACTTAGACCACTGCGCCACTCAGGACTCACCTGCGCCACTCAGGACTCACTTCCCCTTGGACCGCTCTAAGATAGCGTACTTCATCACGCTGATGTCCGGGAGGGCTCTCGCCTGGGCTACGGCAGTGTGGGAACACCAGTCGGCTGTATGCTTCAGTCTGGAGGAGTTCGTGCAACGGCAATACAGGCTTCACACGAAGCCACCTGTCCACTAAAAGACCAGGCTCACCGGTAGGAGCGAGTACTCTAGTGGGCCATACGGATAACTTTTCCTCTCCCCTTACTCGCACCCCCTTTCATGCCATCTTGCTGTGGGGGAACCAGTTGAAATCTCTCCGGGTACTCATCGACTCTGGGGCCGATGAGAGCTTTATGGACACTACCCTGGTGTCTGAGCTGGGCATCCCCACTCAGCCCCTCTCCATTCCCATGGGCGTTAGAGCGCTGGACGGGTGCTCTATAAGCCGGGTCACCCACAATACCACCCCCATCAACCTACGAGTATCAGGGAACTACAGCGAGACGATCCAATTCCTGCTAATTAAGTCTCCTCAGGTTCCCGTGGTATTGGGTTTCTCTTGGCTCCAGCGACACAACCTCTTTATTGACTGTTCTACTGGTGCCATCATGGGCTGGAGCCCGTTCTGCCACGCTCATTGCCTGAAGCCAGCGCAGCCTGCCCTGGGACGTCTTCCTGGGGTCTCGGAAGTTGCCTCGGACCTCTCCGCCATTCCCGCAAAGTACCAGGACCTCCGGGAGGTGTTCAGTAAGGCCCGGGCCACTTCGCTTCTGCCGCACCGACCCTACTACTGTGGAATTGACCTTCTCTCAGGCACCACTCCGCCCCGGGGACGACTGTAATCGCTGTCGGTCCGGAGACCTACTTTGAGGAATCCCTAGCTGCCGGATTCATCTGTCCTTATGCCTCCCCCGCCGGTGCAGGGTTGTTCTTTATTGAGAAGAAGTATAAAACCCTGCGCCTGTGCATCGACTACCGGGGCCTCAATGACATCAAGGTGAAGAACCACTACCCGCTATCACTAATTTCGCAACAAAGCCTCCTTCCCTCATGCTGCCAAAAATGCCCTCGTACAACTGACTATCCTACCGATCCTTGACTTCGGCGATGTCATTTACAAAACAGCCTCCAACACTCTACTCAGCAAATTGGATGTAGTCTATCATAGTGCCATCCGTTTTGTCACCAAAGCCCCATATACTACCCACCATTGTGACCTGTACGCTCTCGTTGGCTGGCCCTCAATACATATTCGTCGCCAAACCCACTGGCTCCAGGTCATCTATAAATCACTGCTAGGCAAATCACGCCTTATCTTAGCTCATTGGTAACCATAGCAACACCCACCCGTAGTATGCGCTCCAGCAGGTACAGTTGAAGTCTGAAGTTAGGTTGGAGTCATTAAAACTAGTTTTTCAACCACTCCACAAATTTCTTGTTAACAAACTATAGTTTTGGCAAGTCGGTTAGGACAGCTACTTTGTGCATGACACAAGTAATTTTTCCAACAATTGTTTACAGACAGATTATTTTACTTATAATTCACTGTATCACAATTCCAGTGGGTCAGAAGTTTACATACACTAAGTTGACTGTGCATTTAAACAGCTTTGAAAATTCCAGAAAATGATGTCATGGCTTTAGAAGCTTCTAATAGGCTAATTGACATAATTTGAGTCAATTGGAGGTGTACCTGTGGATGCATTTCAAGGCCTACCTTCAAACTCAGTGCCTCTTTGCTTGACATCATGGGAAAATCAACCATGACCTCAGAAAAAAATGGTAGACCTCCACAAGTCTGGTTCATCCTTGGGTACCACGTTCATCTGTACAAACAATAGTACGCAAGTATAAACATCATGGGACCACGCAGCCGTCATACTGCTCAGGAAGGAGACGCGATTTGTCTCCTAGAGATGATCGTACTTTGTTGCGAAAAGTGCAAATCAATCCCAGAACAACAGCAAAGGACCTTGTGAAGATATTGGAGGAAACAGGTACAAAAGTATCTATATCCACAGTAAAACGAGTCCTATATCGACATAACCTGAAAGGCCACTCAGCAAGGAAGAAGCCACTGCTCCTAAACCGCCATAAAAAAGCCAGACTACGGTTTGCAACTGCACATGGGGACAATGATCGTACTTTTTGGAGAAATGTCCTCTGGTCTGATGAAACTAAAATAGAACTGTTTGGCCATAATGACCATCGTTATTTTTGGAGGAAAAAGGTGGATGCTTGCAAGCCGAAAAACACCATCCCAACCGTGAAGCACGGGGGTGGCAGCATCATGCTGTGGGGGTGCTTTGCTGCAGGAGGGACTGGTGGATTCACAAAATAGATGGCATCATGAGGAAGGAAAATTATATGGACATATTGAAGCAACATCTCAAGACATCAATCAGGAAGTTAAAGCTTGGTCGCAAATGGGTCTTCCAAATGGACAATGACCCCAAGCATACTTCCAAAGTTGTGCCAAAATGGCTTAAGGACAACAAAGTTAAGGTATTGGAGTGGCCATCACAAAGCCCTGACCTCAATCCTATAGAAAATGTGTGGGCAGAACTGAAAAAGCATGTGCGAGCAAGGAGGCCTACAAACCTGACTCAGTTACACCAGCTCTGTCAGGAGGAATGGGCCAAAATTCAGCCAACTTATTGTGGGAAGCTTGTTACCCAAAATGTTTTACCCAAGTTAAATAATTTAAAGGCAATGCTACCAAATACTAATTGAGTATATGTAAACTTCTGACTGAAATAAAAGCTGAAATAAATCATTCTCTCTACTATTATTCTGACATTTCACATTCTTAAAATAAAGTGGTGATCCTAACTGACCTAAGACAGGGAATTTTTACTAGGATTAAATGTCAGGAATAGTGAAAAACTGAGTTTAAATGTATTTGGCTAAGGTGTATGTAAACTTCCGACTTCAACTGTATATCTCACTGGTCATCCCCAAAGCCTCCTTTGGCCGCCATTCCTTCCAGTTCTCTGCTGCCAATGACTGGAACGAACTGCAAAAATCTCTGAAGCTGGAGACTCTTATCTCCCTCACTAACTTTAAGCATCAGTTGTCAGAGCAGCTTACCGATCACTGTACCTGTACACAGCCCATCTGTAATTAGCACACCCAACTATCCCCATATTGTTATTTATTTTGCTCATTTGCACCTCAGTATCTCTATTTGCACATCATCTTCTGCACATCTATCACTCCAGTCTTAATACTAAATTGTAATTATTTTGCACTATGGCCTATTTATTGCCTTACCTCCATAACTTACTACATTTGCACACACTGTATATAGATTTTCTATTGTGTTTTTGACTGTACATTTTGTTTATCCCATATGTAACTCTGTGTTGTTGTTGTTTTTATCGCACTGCTTTGCTTTATCTTGGCCAGGTCGCAGTTGTAAATGAGAAATTGTTCTCAACTGGCTTACCTGGTTAAATAAAGGTGAAATAAAATTTTTAAAAAATCTCCTCAGCCTTCAAGCCACTCCAGGGGGCCAACGTGTTCTCCAAGCTGGATCTACGGAATGCCTACCACCTGGTGCGGATACGGGAGGGGGACGAGTGGAAGACTGCCTTCAACATGGCCAGCGGTCACTTCGAGTATCTGGTCATGCCATTTGGCCTTACCAATGCTCCAGCTGTGTCACAGGCCCTGGTTAATGATGTTCTCCGCGACATGTTGAACCGGTTCGTCTTCGTCTACCTCGATGACATCCTCGTCTTCTCCTGCTCCGCCCAAGAACACGTGTTCCACGTCCGACAGGTCCTCCAACGCCTCCTGGAGAACCAGCTTTTTGTGAAAGCGGAGAAATGCGAATTCCATTCGCTCCACCATCCCCTTCCTGGGCTACCCCATCCCCTTCCCGATCCCGGGAAGTTGAGAGCAGTGGTGGATTTGCCCCAGCCTACGTCCAGAGTGCAACTTTTCCTGGGATTCGCCAACTTTTATCGCCACTTTATCCAGGGTTACAGCACCCTGGCTTCCCCCCTGTCTGCATTCACCTCTCCCAAGGTTCCGTTCACATGGTCCCCAGCTGCTGACCGGGCGTTCCGGGACCTCAAACACCGTTTCACCACTGCTCCCATCTTGGTTAGATAACCGGATGTTTGTTCCTGACCAAGGCTACAGTTACATTTACAATTGAGGAGAGTAGAATTAAATGTATGATTGTCAAGAGAAGTACTAGGTCTGTTATCCTCACCACTATTGAATAGTTGCACATTTTCCCCGCTCATGCTGTGATTAAAATCTTAACAGTGACTTCCATTTGCATCACCTCTCCTATTACTATACTCTGAATGGACAAAATAGATTTGACAGAGGGGTGTGTGACTCTCTTAGCTGCAATATCTCAGTTCCTCAAAGAAAAGGCCTTAGGATTGGTTTGAGAAGAAGAGAGGGGTGGATACGGTCTACACATTTCACATTTCAGTGGCCTTTTTCTTATCGCCTCAGATGAGCAATCTCTGCAAGCTGAGTTGAAATCGTCTGCCCTATGCTTCACACTAATAGATTTCAATGGGCATATTAATGATTGAAAATACTATATTATATTTTAAAAAATCAAAGAGGAGTGATAATGACACATTTTAATTCTGATATGCAAGACTGGAGGGAGAATGTGAGGGGCCGACATGGCAAAATTAAATCTGAATGCTGTCTGATCAATTCTGACATGCACTTCAATCTCGGTAACATCCGTCTTCTTTTATGTGATTTTAAATGTCTCCCACTGTCTGTTCATGTGGACAGAAAATTACTGTTAGAGAGTGATGGAGCACCTTATCAGCACTGTGAAGTAAAGCATTGATCCAGAGATTGTTTTGTCCATTTGGGGCGTTAGGGCTGGGGACTTGGACATCAATGGGACTGATAGTGAACGTGAACTAGGTGCTGTATTGGGTCATGAAATCGGAGGGCCTGCATGGTCCATTGCCATGGCCTTTATCTTTTGATATATAAATACCATTGGATTTTGGACCCTGGCCTTTGTGCAACAACGCTTTTGGTGGCCTACCATGGTTCCTGATGTCTCCGCATTCGTCGCCGCCTGCACGATCTGTGCGCAGAATAAAACTCCTCTGCAAGCTCTGGCTGGTCTCCTCCAACCTCTGACTGTTCCTCACCGTCCCTGGTCTCACATATCCCTGGACTTTGTCACGGGTCTTCCCCCGTCTGATGGCAACACCGCCATTCTGACAGTTGTGGATCTGTTTTCCAAAGCCGCCCACTTCATTCCTCTCCCCAAGCTACCCTCCGCCAAAGAGATGGCCCAGCTCATGGTGCAGCACGTCTTCCGGATCCATGGACTCCCAGTGAACATGGTCTCCGACCGGGGTCCTCAGTTCTCGTCCCGGTTCTGGAAGGCGTTCTGCACACTCATTGGGTCGTCGGCCAACCTGTCCTCCGGTTTCCACCCTCAGTCCAACGGTCAGTCAGAGCGAGCCAACCGAGACCTGGAGACGACTCTGCGCTGCCTGGTCTCCGCCAACCACACCACCCGGAGTCAGCAACTAGTGTGGGTCGAATACGCCCGCAACACCCTTCCCTGCTCTGCCAAGGGTCTTTCGCCCTTTGAGTGTTCCCTGGGTTATCAGCCCCCGCTCTTCCCGGAGCGAGAGGATGAGGTCGGCATACCCTCGGCCCAGATGTTTGTCTGCAGCTGTCATCGTACCTGGAGGAGAGCCCGGTCGGCTCTTCTCAAGACCACATCCAGGTCGACGACAAGTGGACCGCCACCGGACCCCGGCACCCCGGTATCATCTCGGGCAGAAGGTATGGCTGTCCTCCCGAGATCTGCCCCTCCGGGTGGAGTCCCGCAAATTTTCCCCCCGGTTTATTGGCCCTTTCCCCATCTCCAAGATCATTAGCCCCTCTGCTGTTCGTCCTCTGTTGCCCCGTACCCTCCGTATACATCCCACGTTTCATGTGTCTAGGATCAAACCCATGTCTCACAGCCCTTTGTCTCCTCTTTCTCAAATTCCTGTTTTCTAGTTTTCCCGGTTTTGACCTTTCTGCCTGCCCTGACCCTGAGCCTCCCTGCCGTTCTGTACCTTTTGGACTCTGATCTGGATTACTGACCTCTGCCTGCCTTTGACCTGTCGTTTGCCTGCCCCCTGTTTTTGAAACCCCGTTGATAATTGTTCGAACCCCGTTGATAATTGTAAATAAATCCCTTTTGCGCATGTGCATAACTATAGATAAATCCGACAGGAGAGTTTGAGTGATGAAAGTTAGACAGAGGATCTCAATATCTGAGCAAGAAACACTTGGACAAACTTAACAAAACGAACGTTAGGCTATTTTTTGGCAATTCTGCCATTATGTGCCAGATATGAAGACTGCAAACAGCTATAAATGGCCAATTTGCAAGATTGACTTGTAATTTCAATAGGCATAGGCTACAGACTCAAATCTGGGTTTATGATTGTAATTAAAGTTTGCCATGGTTTGCTTTGACAGATGCAGGGAGCATATAGCACCTGATAGGCCTACATCTTATTTCAGATAGTATACAGTAGCCTAGGCAAAATTTAGGCAATATGTAAACTGAACGATTTAGCAGCTTGCTTAGTTCAAATTAACAGACTAATTTATTCAACATGAATAGAGAGTCGATTTCCAGGTAAGAAGCGCTTGTGTTGCCCAATAGCCTGATGAAATAGGCAACTGAGAATGACGTCGTAATTTCAATCACTGAATTAAATATGAATAATATGTATATGAACTCAATATGCTTGTCAACAACAGCCAGTGTTTTTTTATTTATTTTTTACCTGTAGCCAAATCTGACTGACTGTTACCGTCAATCTAATGCGTTCCAACAACTGATCGGCAATTGCGATAGAGCTTTGATAACTTCCAATTTAATTAATTAAACATGGCCAATAATAATTCCATAATAAGACAAGGATACAACAACAATACACTGAAGTTATAGAATATTTATAAAATTTGTTTGCCAGCTCAAGGTAGGCTACACACTTTGCACATTTTGATTTGCAATGACTCGAGTGAAATAGTAATTTCAACATATTTATTGTATCAAATGGTAGCCTACAGTAGCCTACAATGGCATATACATTAATAGGCTACTACAGTGTGGTCCTCTGTAGCTCAGCTGGTAGAGCACGGTGCTTGTAACGCCAAGGTAGTGGGTTCGATCCCCGGGACCACCCATACACAAAAAAAATGTATGCACGCATGACTGTAAGTCGCTTTGGATAAAAGCGTCTCATTCAAGGGTTTTTCTTCATTTTTACTATTTTTTACATTGTAGAATAATAGTGAAGACATCAAAACTATGTAATAACACATTTGGAATCATGTAGTAACCAAAAAAGTATTAAACAAATCAAAATATATGTTATATTTGAGATTCTTCAAATAGCCACCCTTTGCCTTGATGACAACTTTGCACACTCTTGGCATTCTCTCAACCAGCTTCATGAGGTAGACACCTGGAATGCATTTCAACTAACAGGTGTGCCTTAAAAGTTAATTTGTGGAATTTATTTCCTTCTTAATGTGTTTGATCCAATCAGTTGTGTTGTGACAAGGTAGGGGTGGTATACAGAAGATAGCCCTATTTGGTAAAATACCAAGTCCATATTATGGCAAGAACAGCTCAAATAAGCAAAGAGAAATTACAGTCCATCATTACTTTAAGACATGATGGTCAGTCAATACGGAAAATATCAAGAACTTTTAAAGTTTCTTCAAGTGCAGTTGCAAAAACCATCAAGCACTATGATGAAACTGGCTCTCATGACGACCGCCACAGGAAAGGAAGACCCAGAGTTACCTCTGCTGCAGAGGATAGGTTAATTAGAATTAACTGCACCTCAGATTATAGCCCAAATAAATGTTTCACAGAGTTCAAGTAACAGACATCCGAACATCAACTTTTCAGAGGAGACTGCGTGAATCAGGCCTTCGTGTTCGAATTGCTGCAAAGAAACCACTACTAAAGGACACCAATAATAAGAAGAGACTTGCTTGGGCTATGAAATATGAGCAATGGACATTAGACAGGTGGAAATCTGTCCTTTGGTCTGATGAGTCCAAATGTGAGCTTTTTGGTTCCAAAGGCCTTGTCTTTGTGAGACATTTACATTTACATTTAAGTCATTTAGCAGACACTCTTATCCAGAGCGACTTACAAATTGGTGCATTCAACTTAGGATAGCCAGTTGGACAACCACCCCCTTTTTTTTTTACGGGTAGAAGGATTACTGTTATACTATTCCAGGTATTCGCAGAGACGCAGAGTAGGTGAACGGATGATCTCCGCATGTGTGGTTCCCACCGTGAAGCATGGAGGAGGAGGTGTGATGGTGCTTTGCTGGTGACGCTGTCTGTGATTTATTTAGAATTCAAGGCACACTTAACCAGCATGGCTACCACAGCATTCTGCATCAATACGCCATCCCATCTGGTTTGCCCTTACTGGAACTGTCATTTGTTTTTCAACAGGACAATGACCCAAAACACATCTCCAGGCTGTGTAAGGGCTATTTGACCAAGAAGGAGAGTGATGGAGTGCTGCATCAGATGACCTGGCCTCCACATTCACCTGACCTCAACCCAATTGAGATGGTTTGGGATGAGTTGGACCGCAGAGTGAAGGAAAAGCAGCCAACAAGTGCTCAGCATATGTGGGAACTCCTTCAAGACTGTTGGAAACGCATTCCTCATGAAGCTGGTTGAGAGAATGATAAGAGTGTGCAAAGCTGTCATTAGGGCAAAGGGTGGCTACTTTGAAGAATCTAAAATCTAAAATATATTTTGATTTGTTTAACACTTCTTTGGTTACTACATGATTCCACATGTTTAATTTCATAGTTTTTATGTTTTCACTATTATTCTACAATGTAGAAAATAGTAAAAATAAAGTAAAACCCTTGAATGAGTAGATGTGTCCAAACGTTTGACTGGTACTGTATATAGATGCGACAATTGCCTGCTAGGGTGAATTTCCATTTAACTATCTTGTGTCGATAAAAACCGTTGGACTTAATGACGTCACTCCAGTGGGTGAAGTGTTTCCATTACCCATTTAACCCTTTAGGTAAATTGCACATTAATAAATTGGCGACAGCCTGTATGCCCTCCCACCTATCTTTTTCATGTCTCAGGTAGGCCGCAAAAGCCAGGATGGATAGTATGCAATAATTGACTAATATTTGCCATATTCAAATAATTATCATGTGCCAACATATCGCCACAGTCCGTGCCATGGTGAAACTTGCACTCCTGTAGATCTGAAATAATTGGATGGTGAAACTTTCCAGCCAACCAGAAAAGCAAGGCGAAGCAATTCAGGCAATCCTCTCTCCCTACAATTTCACGTTTGTGCTGCACCCGATCCTATAGCTGTACAACAAATCAGCAGTCTTTTTGCTAGCTCACCCGAGTGGTGTTGATTGACAGTTTGCTGGTCCAATCAGAGGGTTGAGTGTGCATTTCACTAGCCAATCTGTTGCACGTTTGTTTTGCAAGGGTGATGCTGCGGCTACTGTTTCTGGCTGCGTGGAGAGTAATCCACGGAGACTCTGTGCCACAAAATGAGTGACAAAACGTTACAAAACCTGGCCAAATAATGTCAAGTCATCAGTCTCAAGTCAAAGTCGAGTCTCAAGTTATTTTATTTTCTATCAAGTTCAGTTTCAAGTCATCAAATGTGTGACTCGAGTCAGACTCAAGTCTAAGTCATGTGATTAGAGTCCACAACTATGGTTTGTTGCATTGGGGTGCTATCGCGTTAATGCAGCATTGTAAGTAAAAGGAGAGCTAAAGGGAGTCTGTTTTTTGAACATACATTTTCAGTACTTTGCCATGTTTTTTTAGCAACCCTTTAGACAGGTCTTAGTGGACCTAATTACAACTAGGACTAGTGAATGCAACTCTCTGGGAGACTGTTAACATCCTTAAATCCCAGATACCTCCGGCTTGGCACATGGCTTTTTCCACGACTCCAACTCCACCTAAGCTAGGCCTTCTGTATCAAGTTAAGCCTTGGTGTGTCAGCAGCACAGGAGTGAGTTTCGGTGAGTGCCCGTCAAAAGCGCAGGCGCCAAATCGATTTGCTCTTCATATGTTGCTGACAAGCAGTAGTTCAGTAAACTCGCCCCACCCCACTATTCAGAAGGCAGGGGAGCGCTGGTCCGAGGAGGGGAGTTAAACGGAAGTATTTAAATTCACTCTCAAACACACCGACTCTCTAGTGCACACATAACCACCCACCCACAAACAAACACACTCTGACTCTATTTCTCTCACACACACACACACACACACACACACACACACACACACACACACACACACACACACACATAAAGACACTGACGTACCTGATGTGATTAATGATGAGGCTGGCGGCAGGAATGAAGAAATCATCCACTCTATCAAAGTGTCTGCCGACCGGCTGGGTGTGGATGGCATGGTGGGACACACTCCCGCTGGCCTGATTGATCACCTAGCACCACACCAGGAGACAGGGGGAGGAGGGGAAAGGAGGAGAAGATGGGGGAGATATTTAAGGTGGGCCTCATTAATTATTCACTGTGTTTGCCTCCTGCATCGCTTCTGACACGAACTCACACTGAGAGGAGAGGTCCTGTGTGTGCGTGCGTGTGTGCGTGTGTGTGTGTGTGTACCAGTGTGCGCATGCAGGCAGGGTAGCCTTAATTATGCCACAATGCACTAGAGAGACTGGCACCTCCTAACAATCCAAAAGCAGTGCAGGCTAAAAAGTTGTATTGAGCTATAAACAGAAAATGCCACCTAGTACTTTGCCATTTGGTAAAGGGTTGTTGGCAAAACTTGGATTGACAGTTGATAATGTATCCCATTGGAAGAATAGTCATGAATATTAGTGTTCCGAAAATTTCACATCACAGTGTTTTTATGCCATCTCATAACACATAAAATAGTATTGTCATTAAACAGTGAGTTTACACTAAATATTGTGTATTTCACATATATACACCCACTTGTATAGATCATTAGTATCAAGACGGTATCAAGACAAACACATAACACTACTCTATATAGTGTATTTTGGTGTGATGTCAAACAGTCACCTGCAAAGTAGGGAAGTTCCTCTCCATGTCTCCCCAGCTGAGGACCCACACCTTGTCGTGGGATTTGTCATAGTGCAGCTTCACTGGGTAAGGGTCTGTGCTCACCGTCTGAAAGCACACACACAAAAACAAACCTCATATAGCACACTGCACTTACCTAGTCCGATCATTTGCTTTAGCCTTCCTGGAGTGCCAGATGGACAGGGTTTGCACTTTTGGGTCTTTTCCATTGGTTACATCACGTCAGGCAAGCTCAATCAAGCACAGCTTGACGCAAGCACAACTATTTGAAGACAGGTCTGCACTTAAAGAGCAACTCAGGACAATTCAACACTGTCTGTAGACAGATATACTCTTTGACGCTCGGCACGGTGCATATCACAACTTTCCTTGTTCGCTAATGCATTGGATTTGACAGGAAGAGTCAAGTTTTCCTTTTTAACAAGACAAAGGGGAGGCTCGCCTTTTTTATGTATGAGGTGTTTGGACGTTGAGCGGCTTTTCAAATCGAGCAGTGACAGTGCAATTGCTCTACAACACCGAAGTAATTGCATTCAATCAGTATCCATTCCTTGACACCTGGCTGCGATGTGTTCCAGCCGGCTCCGACGGATGAGTCATGTGTGTGGCACTCGTGCATTATGTCCATTCGGATTGACAGTAGAAAACACACAGTGAGAAAAACAACAAAACTTTAGCTTTTTTTTACACCTAGCTTGGCACAAAAAGCTATTATTTTCTTTATTTCTGGGAAATTAGAGCGGACACCAAAACAAGCTGAAGTATGGTGAAGTAGTGTTTTCTTTCTCCCCGTAAAAATCTTAATGGAGCATTTTACTTGACTGCTTCATGTTAAAGTGTATGGTACTACTGTGAGAGTAAACAACTAGAGAGGATTTAACGTACAAGGAGATATGAGAGAGATGTGTTGAGTCATAGCTCATCTCTGAGCATGTTGTCATCAGATAGAATAGGACATTGTTCTTCTGCCACTTGAGGATTTGCCAGTATCACTCCATCCATATTCACATGCACCTACTCTGTGTCTGTGATGGTGGGTATGCTATGAATTAGACAGAATCAATCCAGTACGCTGATTTCTATTTAAATAAATGTACAATTATAAACGTGATGTATAATGCATACAGTACAGTGGTGCCAGCTATATGCAGGACGTTTCTCACCACACTCATTAAAGCTACACCTAGCCAGTCAATATAAAGTACAACTCAATTTTGAAAGTGAAAAGAGAAGATGAGTAAACAAACTGAGGTACCCAAATGACTCCCCCTTTTTTCTTTCCTTGGTAGAGCTGAGCGAGGATCAGGTGGCTAATTAGCATTAGCTCATCTCAAGTAATGAAGCCAAACCTCCAGGTGACCCAGTAATGAGCCTGTGATGGTCGCCAGCGCAACAACCTGCCTGCCTGATGGGCCCTGGGGAGCCTTCCGCAGCAGAAATTGGGCGCCTTCTGGTCCCCCTGTGGAATCATTTTACTCCGAGACACACAAACCTTTTTAACCCGGCACATACACAACCTGCTCTGCTCAAGGTACTCTCCTGCTGTAAGAACATTGGAGCCTTTTTCTTCATCATGGGATTAACCATTCCCAGTAGGCAAAACTGCAATGATGTCAGGCTGACATTTTTGTGATGTCATGATCAGCAGTGGTAAAAAAAATAATAGGTGGGTAAACACTGATCGCCGTTCGCGGTGAATAAAGTAACGCTCCCTACATTTTCAAAGCATTTTTCTGCGTGTGTAAATAAAGAAGTGCGTAAACAATCTTTATGTGCGTTTACCCTCCACTACACCACTACACCGGCAAGCGGTACCGGAGTGCCAAGTCTAGGTCCAAAAGACTCAACAGCTTCTACCCCCAAGCCATAAGACTCCTGAACAGCTAATCATGGCTACCCGGACTATTTGCACTGCCCCCCCCCCCCACCCCATCTTTTTACGCTGCTGCTACTCTGTTAATTATTTATGCATAGTCACTTTAACTCTACCCACATGTACATATTACTTCAACTACCTCAACTAGCCGGTGCCCCCGCACATTGACTCTGCACCGGTACCCCCCTGTACATATAGCCTCCCTACTGTTATTTTATTTTACTTCTGCTCTTTTTCTCTCAACACTTTTTTGTTGTTTTATTCTACTTTTTTATGAAAAATAAATGCACTGTTGGTTAAGGGCTGTAAGTAAGCATTTCACAGTAATGTCTGCACCTGTTGTATTCGGCGCATGTGACCAATACAATTTGATTTGATTTGATATGATAAGCTTCTATACTGGTTGTAAAAGGAGGTAAAGTACGTAACACAATCAACTCTATCTATCTGAGCACCGGCATCAGCTTTCACTATTTTCTTAGGATGTAAAATCAATAAAACAGAAGCTAAACAAAGACTTTGTGGGGGTCGGTTGATGGAAAGCACATTCAAACAATGAAGGCCAAATCTCTATCACGCTAAATAATTGAGTTCCTAAATGACAGTGCATTTGTATCAAAATGAAGTCTGACTCAACTGAGGCTTTGTGAAAAAGGCTATGTCCTTACTTTGACCAGAATAGCTAGAGTGCTAAATCATTCTCAGTTGTAGTGAATAGTTATAAGCCTCTCGGACTCATCAACTTCGTAATTTGTTCAATGATGTTCGGAAACAACATTTGCTTTATGAATGGTTCCATCGTCCAAAAAGTGCAGAACAAAATTGCATTGAAAGTGTGAAACAAATACTCTACGAATGGAATGGAAAAATACAATATTACCTCAGAGAGAGGAGAATGAGTGCAGATATGAAAAAGGCACAATAGCATTTTTTTTTAACAATACAACATTACAGCCATTGATGTGTACTGTAGCCTATTATTGGACATGTGTGGTTTCCTCTGACAACTAAGGGACTTCCTAATATGGATGTCGTATTGGTGGTTTGTTATTGTGTTTACTGCATACCGGTACTCATAAGACTCCACAGCAGGACCTGTCCAAAGGGGAAGGTGATCTTGATTATCCAATTTTCATGGCCGAAATTACCTGGACAGCCTTCTGAGACGTGATGTCGACCACAAGCACTCTGGCCAAGGTTGGCTGTGTGACATAAATAAACTTGTCCTTCACTTTGACCGCTGATGACCACACACACTTCTGCTTGGCCTCCCCCGCTGACTTGGGGCAAACCTCAGCCTGAAAATAAAACACACACAGTTAATACATGTATTGTGCAACATTTATCAAAATGACACATTAAAAAACAAATTATCTTTATCTCCTTTCTTCCTCTGTGTTGTTTTTGAGTCATTCCCTTATCAGCTAACTCCAAGTCCAAGCCTCTCTTATCCCAACAGCAACATGGACACACACACACACACACACAGTCTGTGTTCTGGTATTTTCAGCATGAACCAACATCTCCCTATTGCCTGTGTGCAATCCACCACAGTCCTACACTCTGAAACCCTATATCCACAGCCCTCAACCTGGCTAACATTGGCATCCTGCCCACCCGAAAAAATACTACAGTTGACAATACTTATTATAGAATTCTATAGTCATCTGTAGTATTCTGTAGAATACTATACTACACACTGTAGTATTCCTTGATCATGTGTAGTACTTACTATAGAATGTTGTAGTATACTGTACAACACTATAGTAAATAATACAGTATTATCTGCCAAAAAAAGAACTGAAATAAATATTACAGTAATGTCCTAAAATGTAAAAACACTACAGTGAATACTATAGTATTTATACCATAGTAGGCTCTGTCCTTCTGTCCCTTTCTCCCCTCCCTGTCCCCTCCCGTGGCCTGTGAGCCCAGCTCAGCCCAGCGTCTGTTCTCTGTTCTGGGCTAAGGGAGAATTTGTTTGAGGCCTCGCGTCCTACTGTCACAGAGGGGTGTTTTCTGACAGATGTCACACATCGCCACACCGCCGCGGGCCCAATACCCTCAGGAAAGAGATGCGAAACCTTAGCTCTGACATCCAGTGGAGAGTGTGTGTGTGTGTGGCTGTTGGTTTGTGTGTGGGTACTACTGGACAGAGAGGATGACTTTCAGAGGGAGGTGAATATGGTCTACTGTTGATTTGCCAATGTATCATGCCAATACTACACATAGGTCTTAATTCAAGGCTTATGTTCATGTGGGTGCTCATGTTTATGTCATCACATGGCAAATGTAGCTGTTTGACCGTTTACTTTAAATCACAGACTTGGCAGTAAACAAGATAAATGAAGTTCCATTTTCATGGATGTGTTTGTGAAGGAAACTATTAAAACTTTGGGATGTAATCAGATTTTTAATTTCTGCCACTTTATCAAAGCAGAAGCCATCTGGAGACCGAATACCTCAGAGACTCTACCTCTACCCTCCTGTAGACAACACTGCAGTATGTCGCAACTGAGCATGTGCGAAACCCTAGGCAGGTAGGCAGAAGAAAAACTCTTGTCAATTTCCACCAACATGGTCCTTGGATCGAACGGAAAGCTTTAGAAGTAAGAAAACATACTGTAAAGGTTGTCGGGTGAACAAGCTGCCTGAGGACAATTCGGGCTCTGTAACATACCAAGATCATATTTGATTTTGTGGTATGAGCAAGACTATTTCTTAGCCTTGGACACGACAAACACAATCCTTCAACCTAAAATCCCTGTTCTCTAGCCCCCCTTGCTTCCTGCCACAGGAAATATGTCTGCCTCGCCACTGACTTTCAAACAGCCTCGCTTCTTCATCTGGCAAGTGTATCACACTAAGACGCCCATATAACACTAAGGAATAATGAATTGTTGGTTCATTACCATGAATGATCAATAAAGAACGTGAGATGTGAGCGCCATTTCTAGAATGGGCTTAAGCCTCTTAGCTAGTGTACTCACACAACATTCCTCGTAGACAGAGCTTGTGCTGCTGCCATAGAGTTCACCGTTAATGATATCCAAATATAAATGTCGTCTCTCCGACGAGCCCGGCCTGATCGTTGTGCATTCATGGCGCGCCTTCACACATTACAGCTGTCCAATAAACATAGGTTCTTCGATGAAAGGTAGAAAGGAGGAAAGCACCCATTTGAGTACATGTGTAAATCTGCTTTGAATAATACACAGGTTCAAAAGGGAAGATGCAGCAAAGAGTGAGAACCATTTAGACGTCAAACAGCAATTCAATGAGGAGCCTGACTCAAGAGAGAGAGCCTTTTGGGAGTTGACAACCCTCCAAAACTGCATGATCTTTTCAAATGTATGAGAAACAGTGGTGATGACAAGAGAGACAATTAACTCCCTAATTGTTATGAGATGCAACCATTTCCACTGAATAAAAGATTGTGACAGGTTTGCAAGATCAAATGTAAAATACACAAATAATTATCAAAGTGTTGATAATACCAAAGCAGGTGGTCGGTCCTAAGCTAATTATATTAATACTGTTTAGCTAACAGCTAGCTAAAGCTAATTTGTTAGGATAGCCCTCTATACCAAGCACAATGCTACACGAAGAGGAAGTGTTTCTGTTAGAAGGCATTTCACCTGAAGGAATCGTACATCTAATTGGTTGGTCCTCAAGCTAATCATGCTAATTAGCTAACAGCTAATCTGCTAGCAGTAGCCCTACAATGCAACATGAAGTGGAAGTTTTTCTGTTGTGGAAGGCATCTCACCTGAAGTCCCTGTAGTTTCTCACTGGGCTTTATGTGTCTCTGGATTTCACATGCCACTGGCTGGATGACTTTGATACCATCCTCGTAAAACACATAGAACATATTGGCAATTCCAAGACCTGGCGAGAAATACAACCTTGTTACAAGTCAAACAGGTTTTGTTACAAGGTTAACAACAAACTACTATGTTAACTGGCATGGAGCATGATGTACAGCACTGTTAAAACGTAACAGTTGAGTAGGTAGGTAATTAGCTACTTCAATATAACTGAAAACTGACCCAACTATTAGATGTTCGTTAGACACTGACTTTACAGAAACAAATTTACGGTGTCTATACGAGGACAGCTTGACATGACCATTGGAATTGTATCAATCAACGTCATTGAATCTACTTAATAACATGTTATAGTAATCTACTGTATAACATGATAGTCAACAAATGGTTTAAATAGAAACATACCTTCCTCTCTCCACAGAATGTTTGCCACTGTAGGGAAGACAAGAAAATAAAAATGAAGAGAGTGCATTAGTGTGGAATTGATGGTTTTCCCTTTGTGAGAATTCACTCACCGACTTTAAAGAAAACCGTCTCTTTGATACTTATTGCAACAGACAATCAATAGAAACCCACTGTTTGAGAATAATTGAATACCAAACACTTCAGGGTGAAACAAAATCCGGGTGGTATATTGTAAATACATATAAACAAAAATAAGTTTTTTGTTAATGTTTTGTCGTTAGCCCACCTAAAAGGCCCTCTGTGTTTTGTACTGTAAAAGTATGTGCCACATGCTATGAAATTGACAAGATATTGAATAAAATAAATATACGCCTCAGGTAATTATCTGTCAATAAGTATACAGTATGTTTTATGTATTAGCAGGTATGTAGGTATTACTGTAGTTATCATTAAAAGTCTACACATATCTCGAGCGTAGATGAGTTCCATAGGTCAGTAAAGGGGCTACATGTTTTTGCTGTCTAAAACGCTGTAATTAAATTCACTTAGAGACAACTAATTACATGGAATTGGAAACTTGAGCTGCATATCAACCAAGCGACTTTAATGCATGGCCTAGAATAAAACCCTGCAAAGCCCTCAGAGCCTTTTGAGAGGAGAATGATATGAATCTTAAAAATACGTGCTCATTTCGCCACAAATACAGATGAAAACTCAGAGCCTGCGTACTGAGTGAGCTCGGCCTATCACAGGAAAATTGACGATTTGCTATTCAGGAGCAGATGCAAATAACAGCCCCATTTTGTTTTGACTATCCTTATTTTCCTGCAGTATAAGCACGATGACCTTCTCCTATCGTTTATCCATCCCACAACCCCCTCTGTTTCCATTCCATCTTCCATTTTCCTGGCTGTAGGCAAACCAATCTTGGGCCCCAATTCAGTTCCAATTCTAATCTTCCCCTATTGCGATGCTGCTCATTCTCTCAACCTCTCTTCTGGTGTGTGAAGAGAGTAGAGAGAGAGAGAAAAAAGAATCGAGAAAAAAAAGAAGCTTTGGCAGTGGCACAACAGACCTGTTAGCCTAATCTTTCGAAAGTGTTTTGTCAAGTCCCACTCTGTTGCGCTCATGCATACATTTTGGTCTCATTAAAAAGAACTGAGTTAAAGTTACACAAGAGAACTGCTGTAGATTAAAGATTAGCGTGGAAAGAAAAGGGGAGTGTCAGGGAAACACTGCATTTTTCCCAGTTTCTGGTGATGTTCAAAACAGCGCCAAATTGGTACTGCTGGGGAAAATGTAGGAAGGAGGAAGGTTATGAGATGAGATCTTGGTGCCCAAGTCTTTTCCAATAACGCATTGATATGATGCTATTCAGCACAGGGCAGAAAGATTGCGCTTCTTCCAAAACATACGAGGGGCACATTAATCGTCATCCATATTAAAAAACAGGTATGTGCCACGTTCAGCTGCGGCGGGGTTCACTATGCCAGGCCTGAATAACTGTTTCCAAAAAAGAGCACCGGAATTCTGCAGTTGTCGGGCGGCCTCCACATTCCCCACATAACAACAACTTCCCATCAGCAAAGGTTACAGCACAAACTTGCTTTGCTTACAAGGGCACACGGCGGCAACATTTTGGCACAGTGCCTGTGGATAGGAACATCCTGACATCGCAGCTAGCAGACTTCCTGACTCCATTAACAGGTGACGCAAGGCAGCCTCAACTTAGCTAGGTCGGCTAATGCAAATGAAAATACGCTTCGCGACACAATCACCCTGGGTGTCTTCCTCTCTTAATTCTTCTCCCGCTGTGATTCATTGGCTTTATCAGCCTGTGTTTGGGACTGAGTCGCCTGGCAACATTGGCACGTTGTGTCTGCTGTAGCGTTGTATAATCGGAGGATATGTTTTAATTATGGCTGGCTATAAATACCTTTGTCCAAATACTGCCTGGCTTTATTGACATGATGATGACACTGTTAAGGTGAGCTGAATGTTCCATTTACTGCTCAGTACTCAATAAGATTTCATACGGATCCATTAATATACATTAACATTCCTGTTTCACGGTCTGACTGTAATACATCAGTTATGGATGAATAGATGGTTATGGAAAGATTGAAATACAAGTTAATAAAATGCCATACAAAGAGCTGAGAGAATGTGATCGTCCAGGGAAAGATGACAAATCAGTTCAGAGACACACACACACCAAATGGAATGTTGACCATATTTGCCCACCAACAACTATGCTGTATCACCATCGACTTAAGTGTACATCAACTTAAATTCTTCCTGTTCCAATTCCATGAAACTCTGTAAATTGATTAAAGTTCAACCAGGTTTTTATTTTTGCTGCAGTTGTTTAAGGACACTTCATTATTGGAAGGATAACTTTAGCTGGATTGAGAAACACCCCAGTCATACTATACCGGGTAATGCCGAAACTGAATTCTTCAAAGGCGTAAGACTATTCTATAATTGGAGGTGGAAGTCTATGGAGAGAACTGACTACTGGGGGGATAGTATATCATCTTTTAAAATAAAAAATATCCAACGATTTAATCCTGGGAGGGGGAAAGTAATTGGTGAGACAGAAGTGTGGAGCTGCCTATATGATTTTACCTCGTCAGGAGAAAAAGCAGGATAAATGTTTTAGATGGTTTCGAATAAGTACTTTCCCGACAGCAAGGTGTTAAGACTCCCAGTGATGGAAACTTTACTTTTTGAATTAAAGCCTCACTATACTTTTTTAATCATATACTGTATATTTACGTCTGGGAGAAAAGTGCAGGTCTCCAACAGCCTTCACTGAGTCGTCATAATGCCACACACTGGCCTTACAAAACACCACAAGTCATTGGCAATGTCCTATGAAGCTGATTCAACTGATTCAAGGGCTTGATGATTTGTTGGAATTGTCAAGGTAGTGCTGGGCCACAACAAAAGCCTGTGGCTCTCCCATTCACAATACCCTACAAGGGCTGATTCCACTAAGAGCTCAATGATTCGTTGAATTTGGTGTGTTAGTGCTGGGCTGCAACAAAAGCCTGCACACCCTAATCCACCATTCAGTACATGCTTGACACAAGCTCAAGGCTGCCATACAAAGGCCTTACAAATGCTTCACAATGGAGCCCCTGCAGACCCACAGCCAGACAGAGAGGCCACGACACTGCTGTTGCTGGTACCACAGGTTAGGTTTCTGCATAGGGACTGTGAACAGTGGCCAACACAGTGTGAAAGCATGATGTGACCGAATGTGATGGGCATCGATTGACACACACGCCCGCACACACACACGTTGACACACACACTTAAACACACCAAATCAAAATCATATGAAATGTATTTGTCACATGCGCCGAATACAACGGGTGTAGACTTTACAGTGAAATGCTTATTTACGATCCCTTTCCCAACAATGCAGAGTTAAAAAGTAAGAAAAATGTGCTAACAAAAAAAATACTAGCACAATAAAATAGCAATAACAAGGCTATATACAAGGAGTACCGGTACCGAGTCAATGTGCAGGGGTATGAGGCAGTTGAGGTAATTTAGGTAATATGTACATGTAGGTAGGGGTAAAGTGACTAGGCAATTAGGATATATAATAAACAGAGTAGCAGCAGCATATGTGAAAGTGTGTCTATGTGTTAGTGTGTGTGTTTGTGTGTGGCGTCAATATGCATATGTGTGTGTGTTTTGTGTGTGTGAGCATATGTAGTCTGTGAGTGTGTGTGTGTGTGTGTATGTATGTGTGTTTTGGAGTGTCAGTGAAGTATGTGTGAGTAGAGTCCGGTGAGTGTGCATAGAGCCAGTGCAAGAGTCAGTGCAAAAAAGGGGGTCAATGCAAATAGTCCGGGTAGCCATTTAATTAACTGTTCAGCAGTCTTATGGCTTGAGGGTAGAAGCTGTTCAGGAGCCTTTTGGTCCCAAACTTGACGCTCCGGTACCGCTTGCTGTGTGGTAGCAGGGAGAACAGTCTATGACTTGGGAGGCTGGAGTCTTTGACAATTTTTAGGGTCTTCCTCTGACACCACCTGGTATAGAGGTCATAGGTGGCAGGGAGCTCGGCCCAAGTGATGTACTGGGCCGTACGCACTACCCTCTGTAGCGCCTTGCGGTCGGATGCCAAGCAGTTGTCATACCAAGCGGTGATGCAGCCAGTCAAGATGGTGCAGCTGTATAACATTTTGAGGATGGTGCAGCTGTATAACATTTTGAGGATCTGAGGGCCCATGCCAAATCTTTTCAGCCTCCAGAGGGGGAAGAGGCGTGTTTGGACCGTGATAGGTCCTTAGTGATGTGGACACCAATGAACTTGAAGCTCTCGACCCGCTCCACTATAACCCTGTCGATGTGTTCGGCCCTCCGTTTCCTGTAGTCCAGGTTCAGCTCCTTTGTCTTGCTGATGTTGAGGGAGAGGTTGATACACACACACAATACTCACATGCGTAGGCCCATGTCCCTCTCTCTGTGTTTTGGCCAAGGCACACCAAAACTAACGGCAACAAACACTCCTGCCTCACGCTCCAGAAATAATTGGCAGCCATTTTTAAATGCAGGGCATACCAGTTTAGCACCAGTTCCTGTCAGATTATTATTAGATATTTTTTTAGTCATTTAGCAGATGCTCTTATGCCGAACGACTTACAGTAGTGACTGCCTACTTTTTTCTGTAGTGGTCCTCGGTGGGAATCGATCCCACAAACCCTGGCGTTGATTCTTAAGGAGCACTCTGAATATTGTCAGCTCACTTTTTTGATGGTGATGAAGTGCACCAACGACTTCAAGAAAAACAATTGACTCTCGCAGAGGCGAGAAGCAGGTTTTTGACCTTGAGCAAGCTCAGGGTGAATCTGCTGAGTGGAGTTAATTCTTCGCTCAGAGTATCATGTTTTTCACACTGCTGCTTACTATTACTGAGACTATTTCAGCAATCTATCAACACAATGTTGAATAAGACAGTCAAGATATCACATTTATTTATTTGTACTAGATATCTGATGTATGAACCACGTAGCCTACTGAGGCATTTGCAAGAGTGATAACTCACACATTGACAGTAGTGGACAGGAGAAAATAAAATATAAGAAATGTGGTATGACATCACTACACTACTACACGACATCATCTACCTAGAAACATAATGGATGATATAAAGGAGCTCTAGCAAATGATGGTCGATAGTATTGAGTTGAAAGTTCACGCACGGCTCCATCTGCAAAAGGGGTTGAGGTCGTATCGTTGTATCGTTCTCAGTGAAGATGGGAGGTCATTGAGCGGTCGACAGCCATTGAGGCACAGCAGACAGTTATCCAATGGGAGGGAGGGATGGAGGGAGGAGAGGGAGGGTTGTAGGAAGAGGAAAGGGGGAGACGAGAGATGTCTAGGAATAGCTTGGCTAAGGTTAAAGCAAGCCAGCCCAGGGACACTAGTTACCCTGGTTATATGAAGGGCATTTCACATGGACCATATATCACATGCATCAGCTGATCACAATCGGCTTTCACAAGTGTATGTTAATATATGGGTATGAGAAAGTAGGCTACAGTATGTCATAAACAAAGTGGTGTTCAATACCCTACTATAAGGCTACTTTCCAGTGATGGCTGTAATACAGTGAATTTAGGTTAATTAGGGTTTAATACATTATTTTGTACAAAACATAAAATGAGCTCAACTGCCTTTTGTGACCATGTATCATCTTGCAGTTGTTGACCTCTCTCTCTCTCTCTCTCTCTCTCTCTCTCTCTCTCTCTCTCTCTCTCTCTCTCTCTCTCTCTCTCTCTCTCTCTCTCCCTCTCTCTCAGGTGAGGATGCCGAAAAGAGAGAGAGTGGTGGGATGCATCATTCGCATCACTTGTGTACAGCGGAGCTTCAGCTTACACACTGACTCAGAGCGCTATCATAGCCTCAGGGCTAGAGAGGCAACCCGAGGCAGTCTGCACTGCAGTCTAGCAGAGCAAGCCAAGCTCCTGGATAAGCAGACAGGGGTAATAACGGAAGACCAGATTAAGGCAACCACCTACGGGTGCTAATGGGTGGATATAATGTAGTGGTGGACTATTTCAACATCCACATCTATCTCTTTGATGTTGACTATGGGCTGTGGATCCAAAATGGTCACAAGTGTGCAGACCCCCTGAGCAGTTTCATCATACACAGTGGCTTCAAAGCTTCAAAGGAGGCGACTGACTTCTGACCCCAGAGTAAGTATGTTCTCTGGGTTGGGGATGATCCAAAATGGTCGCCAGTGTGTGTGTCAAACCCCTGAGCAGTTTCATCATACTCGGTGGCTTCAAATCTTCAAAGGAGGCGACTGACTGACTTCTGAGTGATCCTGTGATGTGTGACGGCACGTGGAGTCACTGCCACTGGGACAGCAGCTAAACCTACTGTATCATCGAAGGGGACATGTAAGTGACTTGAGAGTTGAGTTACTCTGTTTGTTTTTTACGTGCTGTTATTATAACACAAGCTCCAAATAAAACACTGCAGCAACAGAGATGTGGCATAGCTGGCCATTTTCATTATGGCATGTGGGGCCGTCTGTAGATTATAGTGTGCTGCCATTTTAATTACTGCATATTTTGCCCTATCTTAGCTGCCAGTCAAACTGCGCAAAAGTGAAACCGAAACCTAAGTTTAGCTATTCATTCTGAGAGGTTAAGGTTAAGGTTTGGAATAGGGTTCAAACAGAAAAACAAAAAATACAAAACAAGTGCCTAGTACTGGGATTGAACCTGCAATCCTCTGAGCCGCAGCTCACGGTTTAAACCCATTCACAACCCCATTCCCAACACCCTAGCTCGTTGCATGCCTACTAGATGGTAATAGACACTCGCGTTGCCCCTAGTGGACATTAGGAAATTGCCATGGAGATAAAATGCCACCCAGTGCCATAATTTCACAGTTTCAATGATGGCAGTGGGTGTCGTAATCCACTAGAGTCTGCCCTGCCTTATTAGGAGAGGAGAGGATTAGCGACAACATGGTTCGCAATCAGGGGTTGACCGTTTTATTTTATTTTGGAAAGGCCCATGATGAATGGGACTGTGTCTGTTCTGAACACGTATTTTTATCACAATTCTACTTCGTTCTTCAGGGCCACCCTTACAATTCCTCAAAATGCTGAACTCATTTCACACGCCTTTTGATGACGGGACCATCAGTGCAAATCTCTCTCAATTAAAGAAGAATCAAAGATGAAAATAAACAACACAACCATTAACGCTGCCCCATTGGCCTCCCGAGTGGCGCAGTGGTCTAAGGCACTGCATCACACTGCTAGCCGTGCCACTAGAGATCCTGGTTTGAATCCAGGCTCTGTCGTAGCCGGCCTTGACTGGGAGACCCATGGGGCGGCGCACAATTGGCCCAGGGTAGGGGAGGGAATGGCCCGCAGGGATGTAGCTCAGTTGGTAGAGCATGGCGTTTGCAACGCCAGGGTTGTGGGTTCGATTCCCATGGGGGGCCAGTATGAAAAAAATTAACAATATTATGCACTCACTGGATAAGAGTGTCTGCTAAATGACTAAAATGTATTAGAAGAGGTACCCTGTTGCTAATTACAACCATTAGCCTCCATAGCCAAACCACTAGATAAGAGACAATATAATATTGTGTATAGCTATCTATTATTTCTCTAGCTGAAGTTCTATTATTACATTGAAGGTTATAAACTATTAACAAGTGACTGGATGAATTATTGAATGTTTTGAGCTGCATGTCTCCATTATCCCCAGGGAAGGATACGCACGCGCACGCACGCATGCACACACACACACACACACACACACACACACACACACACACACACACACACACAAAGGAGACATCATGACTTATACATACGGGTCTTGCGTGCCGAATCCTCCACAAACAGGGAGGAAATGTCCTCGTCCACCCCGGCGTCATTTCTGGCGATACAGGTGTATGCTCCCGTGTCCTCGAAGTGGACGTTGCTGATGTGCACCTCGCTTCCGTTAGCTGGTCGACAAAAAAGAAAACATGAGCACACAGACAGATGCGCACAGACAGACAGACAGACAAGACAGGCAGACGCACGTATGCACACACACGCACACAGACACTGTCAGTAAGTGTGGCACAGACAGATAAAATACAATTTGTGTGTTGCCAGTGCCACTTTCAGAGATGTTTGCCTATTTTGATCAAGGTCATCCCATTACATAACTGAGACTAATAGGATAGGAGACGGGAGAGTGAGGGGTCTTAACAGGATTGGAAGAAGTCAAAATGGGAGACCTTGCAAAGTTGTCCCATGCAGTGGGAGTCATTGTGTATTGTGTTGATGTAGTTGTCGCTAACGGTAGGGTGTCTGCTCATCTGGGGAATGATTTTGGTGTCACACCCCTAAGAACGGATTTAGGGGTTTAACATTGGACCAGTCATCCATGCAGAAGAAAGCACTAAGAAGAGCCACTGAACACGTCGATTGTTTTTCTGTTGCTCATAAGAAAAACGATATTTCAGTCTTGGAGGAGTGTTTCCTGACCGATTCCATGTTTGGTTAATGATGTTTGTCCCCCATGAGACACTGTAAACGCAGAAGCCTATTTCACTTCCTTAAAATCTCCAGAATGAATCTAAGATAACTCAAGAAATGTGTAATTAATTTTGACATTTTTGCTGAAGATGTTTTAGTTGTGCAATTTTACATCTAACTAAGGTGTTTGGTGCAGTATTTCTCAAGTACAAAAATGTGTGATGTGTTGTCGTATGTAAACAATGTCGGAGCTGCTAGGCAGGCCTGTGTCACTGTCTATGCTATTGGATAGAGAGCAATCACCGCAGCTGTTCACCCCATGTTAGTGGGCAAATGGACATTGTCTTATCAAAACCCAACCTTCATTATGACGCACAAATGTTCCAAACTCCGTTATAGACGACACTGACTTTATAACCACAATTTCCAAATGTACACTTTGTAGTCAATTTTGACACTAGAATAAAATGTTTTTAAATGGAGCGAAACAGGGAGGTACTAGCTTAACCTGTCCAATAAGAACACATATTTTCCATTTTGGTTGCAAAACGTTTCGCTTCGGTGTACCCTACTGAACATGACCCAGATGTATGCCAGCGTTGCTAGATTCGATTTCTAACCCTATTCCCCCCCAGCGACTAGATGGAACCCACCTTGCAGGGTGAGCTGTTTGGACAGCTTGGTAGCGATGTCCATGCCATTCTTCAGCCATGCCAGTTGTGGGTTGGGGATACCCTCAGCATGGCAACGGAGACTGGCCGTCACCCCTGGCTCCCGGGCCTGGCTCTCTGGGTAGACCCGGATGACGGGAGGAACTGCATTGTGGGAAGAAGGAAGAGAAGATGAATGTAGGTCCACACACTTTGTTGAAAGGGAAAGGGCTTTTGAGGAATGAGGCAGCCTTATTGGATGATACGTTTTCTTTTAGAGTGTCTGCCAAGTCCATTTCACTTCTCACTCTGCAGTAGCATACCATCAATAGGATCAAGTGCATTTCCAGCATACGCTGAATGCCATTAGAACATTGGTGTGCTCGGCGAGATCCGCGCAAACCAAACAAATCAGCTTGATAAATAAGGGAGAGAACCTCGGTGGGGCTGGCCATTGATTTTGTTGGGCGACCATTGATTTTGTGCAATCTTTTGTCAGGCAAGGGGATGAGGGGGAAAGGAGCTGCAAGAAGAGACACAAAAAAAAACGACTTTTGTCTAACAACTTTACTTAAGATGTGTTCGTATATAACAGATTTATAAGCAATGTACTATACTGAATGTCCAGACATTTATAAGCAATAGACACATAATTCCATAGGTTAACCTGCAGTTTTTGACAAGAGTAATTTTTATGCATTGCTTATGAAGGTGTGACATAGTTATTATGCAGGGACCCTATGACTTGTTAGCATATTTGTTAATATAAGTGTAAAATTTAAATAATATATTTGAATAATCCTTAGAATGGATAGCACATTCTATTAATTGATAATTCAAGTATTATGACAAAGGTCAAAGAGAGCTAAACAAATATTTTAATTATTGAAAAATTAGTTACAAAGGTTTAATTTAATCAATGTGTGTCAATGCACTATTGACTCATCAAGTGCACCTCCAATATTGCTGTACTTTTAATGTGGAGGAATCATTGTAAACAAAGGCAATATGGCAGTTTGTGACAGTATGCTTCTCTGTACTTCACTTTCTCTGTTGAATTTAAGAGTAATGACCTGATAGAGGTATATTGGGAACATCAGACCACTCCAACATGCTATCCTGTCATTGACATTTGGGTCACAGCAAATGTACCCCAAATCTATGGCCTATTTACCCACTTTAAAATAGAGGTTAAAAAAATACCAGTAATACCATTTAACCTCTAAAAGCCTAAGCTAACATACGGAATTATTTAAGATGGTCATTCCATGGATCATTTAGCTATTTGATTTAACATTTTAGGACCCCTTTAGGTATAAAAAAGTTACATAATAATATCTGAAAAAATATTGAATTTGGTCTTTATTACTATAGCCCATAGAAACGCATTGAATAACACATTCATAAATGGCAAAAAAGACAGTAAAAAAAAAATTCATACGGTGTCTGTTTGTAGGCCAAACCGTTTGGACGCTACAGACGTTTTCGTAAGAAGACCGATTTTCGGGATGTCTCATGGTCTGACAAACACCGCTGTAGCTCAACCACCTTCCTCCGCAGATGCGGAAGGCCGCCAAAGGAGGATGCCCATGCAGCCCATATATCTAGCTTAAACTGACAGATTTTGATGTGGATGTTTTTATTATGTTATGCACAGGTGCATCAATAGACTGTTGACGATTAAAATTGACTTGTAAAGAGCAGTAACACCAAGGCTTCAGAAAAGATTGCCACCCTGCTACCCTGGTAGGCTGGCATAGGAGAGAGAAGAGGAGTGCCCCTGGCTGCAGAGACTATTTCCTGTGGGCTTGATTAGGGAGCGGAAGCCTTTGGCCAGCCAGGTGAGTGTGAGACTAGAGAGTGATTTGGTGCCATGGCCATCTGCTCCCAGTAGCATTCTGGTTCCTAGAACCTGGTACGTTCCACCTGCCTCAGCTTGAAGGAATGCCACCCAGGAATGCCAAACATGCCAACCGGAATGCCAACCGGAACGAGACATGGCAGGTGTAAGATACATGTAGCCAGCTGACAGAACTAACACTGTTAAAATCCATTAAATGTATAGTTGAAAATGTTGTTTGACTCTTTATATCAAACATAATTAAAAAACAATATGTAGCGGATTCCCACCGGTTACATCGATACCATGTCATTAGGTGACAATTTTTGAGGTCGTGCCGTCTTTACATAGCGAAGGCCTTTAAACTCCACGTTTCCACTTCCAATTGATATACTACAGCCAGCACACCTTGTATAAGGTCTTATTAACCTAGAATAAAAACAAAATATTTCTCTAAACACTTCTTATTTTTAATGTAAGTGCTTTGGTGCTCCCTCCCTCCCTCCCTCCCTCCCTCCCTCCCTCCCTCCCTCCCTCCCTCCCTCCCTCCCTCCCAAAAATTCCTCAATCTTTCTGCTGTGCAAGCATCTGCAAACAGACTTCTTGTTTCTGTTCGAATCACCATTTCCTTTAGCTCCGGACAGGCACAAAGTGAAATATTGTCATAGTGGTTTTTACACTCAAAACTAGATTCCGACAGAATTGGAGACGTGTTGTAGCCTGATGTCTTCCTAGGAGTGTCAAGAGACGTAGTGATAGGAGGATGGGACACAGCAGGGTTGACAGCTCCATCATAAAACTCCCCAGCCTGCCGTCAATCACACAGCAAGTCTCCCTTCAGCACTGGTGGCAAAGGAGGTGTGTATCACACATACACACACACATAGACACACACACACACAGGCATGCACGCACACATACAGACATGCCCGCATACACAGGCACACACACAGTCCTTCAGGGGACAGCCTTGCCAATACAATCGAGGGTGGTTTCAGACTTTCAACTTTTCACCAAATTGACTCGTAGCCCCTTTGAGTCCCCTGCCCTCTCTCTTTGTTGCATCTCAAGCATCACAACCAAGGCAAGCCCCATTATAGGGGCCCTCTGAGTGTTCTGGCCCCCCACCATGAAAAAACACTTTTTCCTTGGCCCATGCTCATCTCTGAGTAGTGATTAGTATTTCTGCCTGCCTATTCTCACAGCTAGCTCTGGGCCACCCATGGAGGGTTCCAAACACCAGAGAGAGGGAAACATACACGGATGCCCCACATCCCTACAGCCAATGAGGACCACGACTGTGAAAGCCAACTTTATGAAATCGAGGGACTACGATTTACGTGAATACGTATACATTCACCAAGTTAGACCATTAACAGCCCCGGACACAAGAGTAATGCTCATGTGGCTTATTTCACAAATTGGCACCGCAATTGCTCAGTGCTGATTAACTTGTCTAAAAATCATGTGATACTAATCAATGTAATACACATGTAATAACATGTGGAAACCCTGTAGAGAGGAGATTTTATTGAGTCATCTGGCTGTAAGCAGTTGTTTTGCATTACTCAAGCAGCTATGGATCATAAGCATTTGACCATAATTAAACGCATTGCTTACAGTTTTTTAACACGTCATATCCTTATGCCCTTACACATTTCTATATAATATACTGCAGTGGTTATCAAAGGAGGGTATTTTTAGACCGAACCCTGAACCGTATTTCCAGAGAAAGGTGAACATTATCCCCTGACAATTCTGATGTGTGTTTTTTCAATGTTTTGATGCATAATTGAGTGAAAGGCCATCAGTGAACCCCGATGGCTGATAGTACAAAGATGAACTTGTGTCAACATAATTATATTTTTTTGCCCCATCCATTTCCAAAATAATTTGCCAGGCAGCCTTTCCCCAGGCCAGCCAATTTGTTTTTCAACCAATTAAAGTGATACATTATCATTAACTACACGTTGAGTGGTACTGTGTGTGCTTTTAGGTCATCGTTAATGGAAACTGTCTGTTTCAAACGATTTTCATTCTGTCACAAATTCGGCAGCAGTGAGTGTTTTAAGACAGCAGCAAGCACTATCTTTTCCTGTGTGCCTCAATTCATGTCTCTAATATAAAAATGGCATTGACAAGACATGGTCTCCTTTCCAATTACAAAGCAATTCAATTCAAATCTAGCACTTGAAAGCTTTTTCTCACAACTAATGGGCTATTTGATTAGCTAAATCTGACCGAGTGATAATCCTGAAAGAAAGGAAAGTGATTTGATCCCTCTGACAGAATTATCGATCAAAACAACACTCTCAACAAGCTCATATTGTATTCCCAGTTTCAGCGTATTTAGAAAAAAAAGAAAACTTGACAGTCCTGTAAGCATTTCATTTCACCTCACATGTCTCTGTATCAATGGTGGCATGTCAAAGTATCAAGGTGCACCCTTAGGTGTGATTTAGCAGCATTTGGCGTGGATAGGCGTTTGGCTGTGACGGAAGGAAGTGTAAGAGCGACCATTCTGTTCCCGCCGAGCAGAGGCGGCTGCTTACCGTTCACCTGGAGCGTGTGCGTCTGTGAGAGCTGCTCGAACCCGTCAGCATGGCAGCTGTAGTTCCCCATATGGGTGGTTGTCACCTTGGTGATGTACAATGAGCCGTCATCTCCAAAATCCTGCAGAAGAAGAAAGAGGGACGTCACAATGAATGTGTAGGACAAAAACCAATGAGTTCAAAATCGAATTCACCTCAGTATGAATGATATTGTGTGTTCGGATCTGAAAATGAAAATGTTTTGTGAATGTGCACAATGTGTTCAGGCAATATGGCAATGGGGCTTGCAGCAGAGAAAATCAGTGTGTTATTGGAACTTTTGTAAAACAGCAAAAGAAAAACAAGAAAAAAACAAGACATTAAGAAATATCAGAGCGCGCCAAGTCAATGCAAACTAATGTTCTTAATGTTCAGCATAATCAATTGAAAATGCCATTTTGAGTAATCACTGAAAAGAGCTAAATGAGAGGATGTAAAAACAAAATGTACGCCTATGCAACACAAATACAACAGTTTCACTGCGCAACTTCAAATGACAAGCCAATCTGTGAGGCTACCAAAGTCATGACGAACAACTGAAACCAATTGAATGTATGCTGTCATGATCAAGCTGGTGGTGAACACAAATAGGTGCTGAGTAAGAAGAAAAATACAAAAAGACGAAAAAATACATTAAGAATACAGCTGTTACAGTACATTGAAATAAGCCCCAAAGCTAATGAATCCATACACTGTATTGAAGTAATGCAACCATCTGGAAATAACTTAAATTCACTTCCTCATTTAACACCTATCAAGATTCATACTTTCCGAGGTAATTTACTATTTCTCCTGGGAGTATTTCTTACTTCAGTTAGTTGATTAAAATCTATTAATTCTAATTTGATTAGGCAGCTTTCCTTGCTGAAAACACAGACAGACCTGAAGAAAGAAAGCAAATCTGTGTTTCTTGTCATAATTCAATTAGAATTCCGATCATGTCTGATGCCATTGTTCAGGTCTCAGAGTCAGCACATGTCGTCCCATACATACACCTGCAAGACAGCTATAAAGGATAGGCATGGGTCGCAATGTATGGCAGGTACAGCCTCTATGACCAAATAAACAGCGATCAGGTGTGGGATTGTGAGGCTCAGGCTGTACCGGATCATCATACCGTCGCTGTGTAAAGGGAATTGATGGCGTGTTTTGGCCCCTCTGCGGAGAGCATATTGTCACCCTTTTAAATGAAAAATGAATGGGGGGAGAAATGAAACTCGGAGGGGTGGAACTAGAGGCACTGGAGGCAATCGACCCCGCTCCCTTCCACCACCCCACCTTCCCCTCCACCCCTCAGACATATCTGAGGGAAGGTGAGACGGTGAGACAGAGGAGCGAAAAGAGCAGAAGGAATCGTATTTACAGGCCATCCTGATAGAAAAAATGGCTGCCGTGCTCTCTCTTAGCAACCCTTTGCATGATCAGCTGACCTCTTAAAGAGCACCAAGGAACCATCTCATTGGCATCTTGACCCTAATACAGGGCAGGACGTGAGGCCAGCTGTACAAGCCGACTTCCTCAATATGATGTCAAGGTCGAATGTATCCGGGACAGAGAAATGTCAGAATGCATTAGCTTTGTGGGCTTTTTATTGTGGATGACATAGTACACACTTCTGTGGTGATGTCAGTTCCGATAAAACCTACCTGTGTTGGGATCTGCTGGGGAGAAAGAACACAATTGAAATATTTGGATGTTAGTTAAAAGGAAGGGTTGAGTGAAGGTTAACATTGAAGGAAGACATGACACGACATAAAAAGTTGTCAGGCTTTCCACCATGTTACACTACTCATTATACAGCTACATTTATTCATGCATTTTGTGTATCAGACAATGGATATGAATTGGAGTATTTACAGAGGCAGTATATTGAATAGAGAGAGGTCCATAGGTCTTATAGTTCAACATATACATGCAGTGTGAAGTATGCCTATAGAGATTAATATGTTAGCTGTTATACCCCAATCAGTACTATAGGCCCCTGAACATTGGGAGATAAACCACAATACCCATAATACCCTTGGTCAGGGCGAACCAAGACTCTCAAGATAAGGACAGCACCGAGACAGACTGTCTCCTCTATTACAATTCCACATTAATTCCTTAAGCTTCTACGCCGGACGGGTCTAGACACCGCACAAGACTCCATGTAGATACTTTCCCAAGCAGTGCACTCATCCTTGCAGCCTTTATCATGCTTCAGCCTTCTCCTGTCTGGAGCATCCTAATACCAGCTAATAGCTGAGGATGATGATGCAATGCCCAGCAACTGTCATATTCATGGATTAGAGTAAGCTGCTTTGTCAAAATGGAGACCGGCTCTATTGAACTCCATAATAAGAGCACACCATTAGGATTAATGTGGGATTAACTGAGTCGGACTGTTGACAGATTGTTTTTGAAATAACATCCATTCTTAAGGGAAGTGGTCTGTTAAATTAGACAGTATAAATCCTAGAAATCCATTCACCGAAATAGAACTGTAATTAGTGTTGGCAGTTCAGGCCTTGGCATATTAAAAGGCACAATTATGCCAGAACCTTGGTGAAATTGGGTAAATGGCGTTCACAGAGGAGGTTGGTGAACACCAGGTGCATATAAATCCACTTGTTTTGCTATGAAAAACTCTGTTGGCGCTTAGCTGCAAGACTAAGTGCAATAAATAATCTAGGGTAAGCCGGTTTTGGGTTTTTGCTGATGTTCCATTAGTATTTCGCTTGGTATTTTGCTTAGTCTAGTTAGTAATAAAACGCTTGGTACACACATTTTTATGTTTAGAAAAAACATGGCTGGTGGGCTGTTCATAATAACAATAATATGCCATTTAGCAGACGCTTTTACGTATGGGTGGTCCCGGGGTCGAACCCACTACCCTGGCGTTACAAGCACCATGCTCTACCAATTGAGCTACAGAGGACCACAACAGTGGTTAACTGTTAACAGTTCATATCAGTAGGCCATCTGCAGAAATCATCTGCCCAAGGTCGTGTACGAGGGCAATTTTAGACGACTGCAGGAAAATAAATCCGACGCTGACAGACACCGGGATCAAAGTTGAGCTCACACTGATGAAGCCGTGGGCAGAATACAGTTAACCTGAATGGCATGGACATTGATGCTAACACAACAGAATGAAGGTATCCCAACTTGACTTCATTTGCCTGTGACTGAATTTAAATAGTGCGCATACAATACAGTGTAGTGTCCAATTCAATTGAGCTGTTACAGTCCGTAACACTGCAACACCGTGTAAGGTTGGTTTTCTACTGCATCACAGCACATCGGATTAGGAACCAGTTAGTACAATAAGAGTTGACATCAACTAACTGTATGTCGACGCTAACAATAAAACATGTCTTCTTCAATTCAACAGGGAAATAAGTGCTTCTATGTGAAGAGGAGGAAACAAAGACCCCCCTTCAGGTTGCAAAGCCTCTGAACTCCATTGGATGTCTTCAGCGGTTGCTCGATGCTACCCAAGGAACACATGGAGCGAGTAAAGTAAAACAGTCCTAGGAAATATCTACCATATACAGGAGCCGAATAACATCAACGTCGACCTAACTTGACCTGACAAGGCCCTTACTTTACCCAAGAGTTCAATCTAGCTCACTCACTTTCATCCAACTTGGCATAGGCTGGTTTTGATGCATTCCCAAGTCAGCGTGCCGTACAGAATTATTAATAATTTATTATAGAGGGGACTGGGGGGGTAAATGGCAGTGTGCCTGCTTTCACATGCAAGTCATCAAGCACCTTGGAGAGTAGGCGATGGATGGGGCCAAGAAAGAAGAAGATTCCCATCTTCATGTAAATGGAGGATCATAAGCAGCCGAAGCGCTTGGAAACAGTGGGGACAGAAATCCAATTCCAGAGATGATGGTGCTCGGCGATGACTGGCGGCAGCTGTGCACCTCCTCGCACAGTTTTAAGGGTCATCAACATTTAATGTTACATTGGCGGCATCGCTGGACCTCCTTTATCTAATGCGACAGTGTTGACTCAATTATGCACGGTCGAGTCAGCTATAGCTTGGCCAACCCTGAAGGGGGAGAATGTAGAGAGTGGGCAGTGTTGCCTGGTGACTCACTGCACCTCCAGTCTTTCAGTGTCCTGTCTTTGAAGAAGGATGAAAGCGACATGATGGTTGTCGGGGGCTACCAACAGATACAGCACACAGACAATGTCAGAGACAATGACACGCTCAGCGGGAAGTAAAAATAGGTGCTTCCCCATCGGAGCTGAACCCCTATGGTAACCCTCACAGCAGACTGAATATCTGACATTGTGAATAACTGTCAAACCCAAAATGTTGTTCAAAAGCTATAGGTCAACCTTTTGATTTGTCCAGGTTAAAGAGAGCATGTATGTGTGTGTGCATGCGTGTGTCTTACAAAGCTAGAAGTTCAGTTGTATTTCAGGTGGGGCTGCAGGCAGTACTTACATTTATGTCCTCCAAATCCAGCGAGTTGAGAACCTGATTGTTGCGTTTCCAGATGATGGGAGGTCTCTGGTCCCCCGTGATTGCGCAAGTCAAGATGGCACTCTGGCCAACGGTTACCGTGGTGATAATCAATTTCTGGTCATCGGGCAGGGTGAGCTGGAACACTTCTGTAAAGAAAGAAAGCCAGCCGGTAATTAGATCACCCGTTAGACATAGAGAGATGTGTGACAGCCACTTTTGTTTGACCAGGGTGCTTGAATGTAAGAATTAAAATGTGTGTGTGTGTGTGTGTGTGTGCATGCATTTACTTCCATATATCAAAGAAGCATGCAAAATGATGTTTTCTGTGTGTGAGCACACATCACACTGAAAAGCAGAGTGATTATGGTGCTGTGTGTTTGCACGCATTCTTTGAATTAATCAAGCTGAAAAAAGTAGAATAGACAGAGAGAGGCTCAATTAGCCAGTGTTTTGTTGGCAAGGCACAACATTACTGCATGAAGTTGTTTGTTTTATGGTAAAATATGCATAGGGAAAACATAATGAGTTCATACGTCAAGATATAATTTATGAAACTAGGTGTAAAAACTGAGTAAACAAGAGGTTTAATGTACATTTAATTTAAACCATGCCCACATCTCCAAGGATTTCTTCCACCCAACTAGCTATCCATATTATCATGTGGACTTTTCCAAAGGGATTGTGGGTGTTCTATTCAATTTCCCACAACGCCGCCATATTTATTATTTGATATTATTTGAAATTCACCGGCAACCCAAAAGAAACCCCAGTCCTCCACATATTGCTATCGTCACTGATTGTTCTATTGAAAGTGTCCATATAGTACCAAAGGCACAGAAAACATATTGGAAAAACAGAGAACTTTTGTGTGTGGCCAGTAAGGGTGCCGATGCAGTTCTTCAGTGAGACAATGAATGAACAAAAAGCTGTTACCCAAGCATCCCTTTAATTATGTTATGGAACTAGTGTGAGCCTTTTAATTTTCCTATTGGGCTAATGAGCAACAGAGCAAAAGGATACACTGACTGAATTGGTTCTGCTCCTGAGAGCATGAAATACAAAAACCTAATGAAAGAAAAGCCCAGGTCCGGAGTCTAGCAGTTAGCTTAGCGCAGCGAAACACAACTGAAAAGGGGAAGACAGTTCAGGTGCATCAAAGCTGGGACTGAAACTGATGAACAGCTTCTATCTCCAGGCCATCAGACTGTTAAACAGTCACCACTAGCCGGCCTCCGTCCAGTACCCTGCCCAGAACCTTAGTCACTGTTACCAACCGGCTACCACCCGGAACTCTACCCTGCACCTTAGAGACTGCTGCCCTATGTACATAGAGTCATTCAACACTAGTCACTTTAATTATGTTTACATACTGTTTTTCCCAGTGTATATGTATATACTGTGTTCTAGTCATGGCTCATCCTATATAACTACTGCTGTACACAGCTTTTCAATTCATATACTGTCCATACTGTCTATACACACCATCATACAACATACTGTATATATATATACAGTGCATTCCGAAATTATTCAGACCTCTCGACTTTTTCCACATTTTGTATTGTCATTATGGGGTATTGTGTGTAGACTGATGAGGAAATGTTTTTATTTAATTTATTTATTTATTAAAGCTGTAATAAGGCTGAAAAAGTCAAGGGAATGAACTGTATATTCCAGACTCTGACATTGCTCGTTCTGATATTTGTCAATTTCTTTCTTTTTAACTTTTTGGATTATGTGTGTATTATTTTGTATGGCTAGAAACATAAGCATTTCACTGCACCTGCGATAACATCTGCAAATCGGTGTACGCGACCACTTTGATTTGATGAGCTGGAATAAGGCTAAACTCTGCATGTGGTGTAGGTTACCATTTATATTACATTTACATAACAAACTTCTAAGTCAATCTGTTTGTTGTGTCTGTACCATTTCTGTGATTCCTATACTGGAATAACCCCCATATGATAAATGCTTGAATACTGCAGACACCAGATTCTGTAGGAAACACAAATAAAGATATACGTTGCTGCCCTCTTGCCCTGAGTAAAGATTGTGCTGACTAATGGTTTAAATGGTTCATAACCCCAAGCAATGCATGTCCAGTAATACTATGGGGTTCAAAAGATCAATAAAAAACTTGAACAGGATTGCCCTTTTGAAGATTCAATGGAGCTAACTGTGTCATTAAGTTATGAATATGTACAATTACACTTCTACATTGTTTCAAGAATTCTAGGGAGATGTTTCTCAAGGAGAGAGGATTGCGTATGATTGTCCTGGAAGACTGTATTGTCCTTTGTGAAATTCCCTTGTGGAAGGCTAAATCCAACACACAAGAGGACATACAGTCGCTACTGAAAGTCTACACACTACTTGCTAAGTTTTCACATTTTGCTGCCTTTAACTTCAATCTAAAAAGGGAATCAATTAGATTTGTTTCCTTCTGATCTACACCACCTAGTCCACATTTTCAAAGTCAAAAAATTATGGAAAATGTTTGCGTATGTCTTCACACCCCAGAGTTAATACTTAATGGAAGGAGCTTCGGCAGCCATTACAGCTGTGAATAATTTTGAATAAGATTCTACCAACTTTGCACAACTCTTTGGGCAAGTATGATCCGTTATTTTTGTCAAAATTGCTCAAGCTCAGTAAATCTGTTTGGAAATCATTGATGCACAGCAAGATTCAAACATTGTCTCTGATTTTTAAGCAGATTTACAGTGCATCAGAATGTAGTCGCACCCCTTGACTTTTTCAACATTTTGCTTCATTACAGCCTGAATTTAAAATGGATTATTAAAAAAAGATTTTGTGTCACTGGCCTACACACAATACCCCATAATGTAAAAGTGGAATTATGTTTTTAGAATTGTTTACAAATTAATTCAAAATGAAAAGCCTTGAGTCAATAAAAATCCTAGAGGAAAACCTGGTTCAGTCTGTTTTCAAACAGACACTTTGAGAAAAATTCAGGACAATAACCTAAAACACAAGGCCAAATATAGACTGGAGTTGCTTACAAAGATGACATTGAATGTTCCTGAGTGGCCTAGTTACAGTTTTGACTTAGATAGGCTTGAAAATATATGGCAAGACTTGAAAATGGCTGTCTAGCAATGATCAACAACCAACTTGACAGAGCTTGAAGAATACTTTTAAGAACAATGTGCAAATATTGTACAATCCAGGTGTGCAAAGCTCTTAGAGATTTACCCAGAAAGACTCACAGCTGTAACTGATGCCAAAGGGGATTCTAACATGTAAATGTGTGAATACTTATGTAAATGAGATATGTATGTATTTCATTTTCAATAATTTTGCTAAAAATTCTAAAAACATTATTTAACTTTTCCATTATGGGGTATAGTGTGTAGATGGGTGAGAAAAATACGCTACCAGTCAAAAGTTTGGACACACCTACTCATTCAAGGGTTTTTCTTTATTTTTACAATGTTTTACATTGTAGAATAATAGTGAACATATCAAAACTATGAAATAACACATATGGAATCATGTAGTAACCAAAAAAGTGTTAAACAAATCAAAATATATTTTAAATTTGAGATTCTTCAAATAGCCACCCTTTGCCTTGTTGACAGCTTTGCACACTCTTGGCATTCTCTCAACCAGCTATATGAGGTAGTCACCTGGAATGAATTTTCAATTAACAGGTGTGCCTTCTTAAAAGTTAATTTGTGGAATGTATTTCCTTCTTAATGCGTTTGAGCCAATCAGTTGTGTTATGACAAGGTAGGGGGTATACAGAAGATAGCCCTATTTGGTAAAAGACCAAGTCCATATTATGGCAAGAACAGCTCAAATAAGCAAAGAGAAACGACAGTCCGTCATTACTTTAAGACATGAAGGTCAGTCAATATGGAACATTTCAAGAACTTTGAAAGTTTCTTCAAGTGCAGTCGCAAAAACCATCAAGCGCTATGATGAAACTGGCTCTCATGAGGACCACCACAGGAATGGAAGACCCAGAGTTACCTCTGCTGCAGAGGATAAGTGCATTAGAGTTACCAGCCTCAGAAATTGCAGCCCAAATAAATGCTTCACAGAGTTCAAGTAACAGACACATCTCAACATCAACTGTTCAGAGAGGACCGTGTGAATCAGGCCTTCATGGTCGAATTGCTGCAAAGAAACCACTACTAAAGGACACCAATAATAATAAGAGACCTGCTTGGGCCAAGAAACACGAGCAATGGACATTAGACTGGTGGAAATTTGTCCTTTGGTCTGGAGTCCAAATTTGAGATTTTTGGTTCCAACCGCCGTGTCTTTGTGAGACGCGGTGTGGGTGAACGGATAATCTCTGCTTGTGTAGTTCCCACTGTAAAGCATGGAGGAGGAGGTGTTATGGTGTGGGGGTGCTTTGCTGGTGAGACTGTCTGTGATTTATTTAGAATTCAAGGCATACTTAACCAGCATGGCTACCACAGCATTCTGCAGCAATAAAACATCCCATCTGGTTTGGGCTTACTGGGACTATCATTTGTTTCTCAACAGGACAATGACCCAACACACCTACAGGCTGTGTCAGGGCTATTTTACCAAGAAGGAGAGTGATGGAGTGCTGCATCAGATGACCTGGCCTCCACAATCCCCCGACCTCAACCCAATTGAGATGGTTTAGGATGAGTTGGATGGTGGAGAAAAAGCAGCCAACAAGTGCTCAGCATATGTGGGAACTCCTTCAAGACTGTTGGAAACGCATTCCAGGTGAAGCTGGTTGAGAGAATGACAAGAATGTGCAAAGCTGTCATCAAGGCAAAGGGTGGCTATTTGAAGAATCTCAAATTTAAAATATTTTTTGATTTGTTGAACACTTTTTTGGTACTACTTTCATATGTGTTATTTCAGAGTTTTGATGCCTTCACTATTATTCTACAATGTAAAAAAGAGTACAAATTAAGAAAAACCCTTAGGTGTGTCCAGACTTTTGACTGGTTGTCACGTTCGTTTAAGGACGGGTCAGACCAAGGCGCAGCGTGATATGCATACATGTTTATTAAACTGATAAACACACGACAAAACAACAAACCAAACCAAACGTGAAGTCCAAAGGCTGAACACAACACTAGCCTAAACACGGAACAAGATCTCACAACCCCTAATTGCCAATAGGCTGCCTAAGTATGCTCCCCAATCAGAGACAACGAGCCACAGCTGCCTCTGATTGGGAAACACACCCGGCCAAACATAGAACTACACATACTAGATAGAAACATAGAAATACTAACACAGAACATTCACACACTGCCTCAACATATAAGAGTCCCCTGAGTCAGGGCGTGACAGTACGGGCCGGGCCGTACTGGCGACACGCACCACTGGCTTGGTGCGAGGAGCAGGAACAGGCCGGGCCGGACTGGGAACATGCACCACTGGTTTGGTGCGAGGAGCAGGAACGGGCCGGGCTGGACTGGCGACACGCACCACTGGCTTGGTGCGAGGAGCAGGCACAGGCCGGGCCGGACTGGGAACACGCACCACTGGCTTGGTGCGAGGAGCAGGTACGGGCCAGGCCGGACTGGGAACACGCACCACTGGCTTGGTGCGAGGAGCAGGACTGGGTTCCTTTATTAACCCCCGCTCCTTATGCTGCCTAACTAGCTCCTCTCTCCGTGCCTCTACTTCCTCCTTTTCCCTACGAGCCTCCTGCAGTGCCTCCTCTTGACTGGATCTCTCCCGCTCTATTCTAGCTATCAGCCCCCGTAATATGGTGGCCTCCTCTCTTACCCTGCCGATCCGATCCTTCTCTCTCTCTCGGCACTCCTCCTCCAGTGAGGACTCCTCCGGGAGCCCCCACGAGTTAGGGAACAGAAACTCATCATCGTCGTCATCCTCCGACTCCTCAGTATAAAACTGTTCCCACTCTTCTTCCCATGGTCATAGGGAATTCATCTGGAAACCCACCGGGTGCAGTGGTCGGGGCTCTTCTCTCTCGCTCCCCGACCACCCCTTTAGCCCCCCAAAAAAATGTTATTGGGGCTGCTTTTCGGGCTTCCTCCTCGGCCGGCTACTTCTGCGTTGCCGTTGCTCCTCTTTATACCGGGCCTCCACTGTCTCCTCCCAAGGACGGCGATCCATCCCAGCCTGAATCTCCTCCCATGTCCAGGATCCCTTTCCGTCCAGGATCTCCTCCCATGTCTAGGCTGTCTGCTCCTGGGCACGCTGCTTGGTCCGTGTTTGGTGGGATCTTCTGTCACGTTCGTTTAAGGACGGGTCAGACCAAGGCGCAGCGTGATATGAATACATGTTTATTAAACTGATAAACACATGACAAAACAACAACCCAAACTAAACGAAACGTGAAGTCCAAAGGCTGAACACAAAACTAGCCTAAACACGGAACAAGAACCCACAACCCCTAATTGCCAATAGGCTGCCTAAGTATGCTCCCCAATCAGAGACAACGAGCGACAGCTGCCTCTGATTGGGAAACACACCCGGCCAAACATAGAACTACACATACTAGATAGAAACATAGAAATACTAACATAGAACATTCACACCCTGACTCAACATATAAGAGTCCCCTGAGTCAGGGCGTGACACTGGTACTGTATATATTTAATCAATTTTGAATTCAGGCTATAACACAACAAAGTGTGGAATAAGTCAACAGGTATGAATACTTTTTGAATGCACTGTAAGTCAGGCCTGAGACTGAACCACTCATGACCACTCGACACTTCTTGGGAAGCCATTCTGGTGTTTCTTCAGTATGAAAATCAGTGTAATTGTCCCGATGAAAAATAAAACTATATTCTAGGGTCAGGTTTTCAGAAGACTGAGGCAGGTTTTCCTATAATCTTTTACCTGGGCTTTGCTCCTTTCATGTTTATTTTGATCTTGACAAACTCCCAAGTCCCTGCCTGTGACAAGCACAGCCATAACATGATGCTGCCACAATATTAGAAAATACAGAGGGTTTCACTCCGTGTAGTGCCAAAAAGTGTATTTATTTGCTGTGTGTTACTTAACTGCCTTGTTGCAAACAGAATGTAAGATTTTTTGTGGAATTTTTAAACACAGACTTTCTCCTTTTCACTTTGTCATACAGGCCAGTAATGTGCAGTGAATGCAATTTTGTTAATCCTCTGTATTTTTAAGTATTGTGGTGGCAGCATCATATTATGGGTATGCTTGTCACCGGCAGGGACTGGGGAGTTTGTCAAGATTAAAAGAAACATGAAAGGATCAAACCCAGAAAAAACATTGGATGAAACCCTGCCTCATCTTCTCATAATGTGGTCCTCTGTAGCTCAGCTGGTAGAGCACGGCGCTTGTAACGCCAAGGTAGTGGGTTCGATCCCCGGGACCACCCATACACAAAAAAAATGTATGCACGCATGACTGTAAGTCGCTTTGGATAAAAGCGTCTGCTAAATGGCATATTATATTATTATTATTTCTGAATACCTAACCTTGGGATAGTTTTATTTTCAACGGGACAATTACACAAATATTAACACCAAAGACACACCAGAATGGCTTTCCAATAGGTGTTGAGTGTTCCTAAATGGTCCAGTCTCGGTCCTGACCTAAATCGGCATAAAAATCAGAGACAATGTTTGAATATAGTTGTCCATTAATGACCCCCAACCCAAAAAAACTATGGATATAATGTTGCCCTAAGAGTTGTACAAAGTTGGTAGAATCTTATTTAAAATTATTCACAGTTGTAATGCCTGCCAAAGGTGTTTCCACTAAGTATTAACTCTGGGTTGTGAAGACATACACAATCAAGAAAAATTATTTTTAGAAGTAATTTAGAAAATGCTATATTTTCTCTTTCACTTCTGGAGTAGGGGAGGAATGTGGAGTAGGGGAGGAAAAAAATCAAATTTAATCCAGGTTTTTTTGCTTAATTTTAAGGCTGCAAGATGTGAAGACTGTGCAAGGTGTGTGTAGACTTTCACTAGGCACTGTATATGTTAATATGCTCAAACACACACGTCTTGTAGATTAGCCTTTAATTTCTCAAGAGTGGGAACATCTGTCAAATCATTAGCAAGTCCCTTCCTTTGCCCGACAATTAAAAAATCTTGTGTCTTTGGAACTGGAGTCTTCTGGCAGGCGTATTAGCACATGAAAACAAAGTGTGGTTGTGACGATGATGTTAACAATCATTGCTATTTAGCTTTAAAGGAGGTAAAGGCTCTTTAAAGTTGATGGAGTATTGGAAAAAAAAGTCCTCAGGAAATTGCAACATGACAACAATAATGTATAATGTGGCATAGACAATCTTAATAAAATAGTATAATTGAGCTACGAAAGAGCAAGAATAGAGAACAATACCCCCGATCCTAACCCCCTAGAGTCTATTGACGCACCGGTGTGTCAATTTAAGTAACAAAATAAAAAAATCCCCTTTAAATTAATCAGTTTAAGCTAGAGATATCTATTTTTTTGCATGGGCTGAGTCTCAACTTAATATTTGGTACAGAAACCTTTGTTTGCAATTACAGAGATCATACGTTTCCTGTAGGTCTTGACCAGGTTTGCACACACTGCAGCAGGGATTTTGGCCCACTCCTCCATACAGACCTTCTCCAGATCCTTCAGGTTTCGGGGCTGTCACTGGGCAATACGGACTTTCAGCTCCCTCCAAAGATTTTATATTGGGTTCAGGTCTGGAGACTGGCTAGGCCACTCCAGGACCTTGAGATGCTTCTTACGGAGCCACTCCTTAGTTGCCCTGGCTGTGTGTTTCGGATCATTGTCATGCTGGAAGACCCAGCCACGACCCATCTTCAATGCTCTTACTGAGGGAAGGAGGTTGTTGGCCAAGATCTCGCGATACATGGCCCCATCCATCCTCCCCTCAATACGGTGCAGTCGTCCTGTCACCTTTGCAGAAAAGCATCCCCAAAGAATGATGTTTCCACCTCCATGCTTCACAGTTGGGATGGTGTCCTTGGGGTTGTACTCATCCTTCTTCTTCCTCCAAACACAGCGAGTGGAGTTTAGACCAAAAAGCTCTATTTTTGTCTCATCAGACCACATGACCTTCTCCCATTCCTCCTCTGGATCATCCAGATGGTCATTGGCAAACTTCAGACGGGCCTGGACATGCACTGGCTTGAGCAGGGGGACCTTGCGTGCGCTGCAGGATTTTAATCCATGACGGCGTAGTGTGTTACTAATGGTTTTCTTTGAGACTGTGGTCCCAGCTCTCTTCAGGTCATTGACCAGGTCCTGCCGTGTAGTTCTGGGCTGATCCCTCACCTTCCTCATGATCATTGATGCCCCACGAGGTGAGATCTTGCATGGAGCCCCAGACCGAGGGTGATTGACCGTCATCTTGAACTTCTTCCATTTTCTAATAATTGCGCCAACAGTTGTTGCCTTCTCACCAAGCTGCTTGCCTATTATCCTGTAGCCCATCCCAGCCTTGTGCATGTCTACAATTTTATCCCTGATGTCCTTACACAGCTCTCCGGTCTTGGCCATTGTGGAGAGGTTGGAGTCTGTTTGATTGAGTGTGTGGACAGGTGTCTTTTATACAGGTAACGAGTTCAAACAGGTGCAGTTAATACAGGTAATGAGTAGAGAACAGGAGGGCTTCTTAAAGAAAAACTAACAGTCCTGTGAGAGCCGGAATTCTTACTGGTTGGTAGGTGATCAAATACTTATGTCATGCAATAAAATGAAAATTAATTACTTAAAAATCATACAATGTGATTTTCTGTATTTTTGTTTTAGATTTTGTCTCTCACAGTTGAAGTGTACCTATGATAAAAATTACAGACCTCTACATGCTTTGTAAGTAGGAAAACCTGCAAAATCGGCAGTGTATCAAATACTTGTTCTCCCCACTGTATATATATTTCCTTTCTTATATCTCCTAGATATAAAACCTTACTCATTATGATTTATTTTTGACTGTCTTTTTTGCCATTTATGAATGTGTTATTCAATGCGTTTCTATAGGCTATAGTAGTAAAGGCCAATTTCAATATTTTATCAAATATATTTTGTACATTTTTATTTATACCTAAAGGGGTCCTAAAATTCTAAATTAAATAGCTAAATGGGCTTAGTGGGACTATCATTTGTTTCTCAACAGGACAATGACCCAACACACCTCCAGGCTGTGTCAGGGCTATTTTACCAAGAAGGAGAGTGATGGAGTGCTGCATCAGATGACCTGGCCTCCACAATTACATAAACACACAGTTGATCAAAATATTCCAAATAAATGTTTGCAGAAAGCAAACGGTGGTCATATTTTGACATGCTCACTGAACTCTGTCGGCCCATATCACATGATATACAGATGCCCACAACGGAATTCCTACTCTACAAATAAAACAATACAATATCCAAGTGGGAGATTCCTACCCCTGGCTCTTTTATGATCCTCCTACCCCTCGACACTGCTGGCAAAACAACCATGATAACATCACTGTTAACACGACACATGGACGTTTCAAAACCCAGCAGGCTTTATAGTGACGGGATATACCCACAAGATCTCCTCCAATAATATCCTCCCTAACCATTCAATTACAGTCCCTTGTATCTTAATGGCTTTGGAAATGCGCTCCGAGCAATAAACTCGATTTTCAGGCAATCTCGGGGGGATTGAAACGGGGGAAGTTATGGGAGAGTTTAAAAGATAAATCGCCAGGCGGCGGGCTCCATCATCATCATACCGTCAGAGGGAAAACGATTTGCATGTGAAGTCACAGAACGGGCAATTCCTTATAGCTCGAACTGGAGCACGGGCTGCTGGACATTTTGGCTCACCTTCTTTGGCCTCTGATTTATCAGAATGGCAAGTGGCCCTGGCTGCTCCTTTCGTCTTGTTTTGGACTTCCATGGCTCTTCTCCTGGGAGGGACCCAACCTTCAACATACAGCCTGTAATTAGTGATGAATAGGCTGGGTCTCCCTTTTCATTTTCTCCCCGACTGTTCCCATAATGGGATGGAGGTCCATGCCCACCGCCGGAGTCTAAATCACCTATGGCACAGTAGAGGAACTGTGTTTGTCAAGGAAAATAACTGGTGCTGCAGGACGGGAAGTAGCCAAAGGGGCAGGCAAGAGAAAAATAGCAACCCACTGTCGTTTAGCTACTCCCCTGCTCACCTAGCCCTTTCGTTTCCTGTTTCTTTCGCTCTCCCTCTCTTGTGCTTTCCCTCCATCATATATTTTGTACTTGTGGCAAAACATGATCAAAGAGGTGTCATCAGTCCTGTTGGGTGTATCCCCATCGCTGATGTTTTTTAATATGTGTATTGTGGAGTACTGTTTCATAATTTTGAACGACCCCTAAATCACTCCACTTGGGTATAGGGTTCCCTAGACTGATAGCAGGGTTAGTTCGACTTAATTACCCGCTCCAATATCAGTGTCTGCAGATATGAACAACCCTGTCAATACCAGTAATACTTTGAATGAGACTTGAAGCTTCAGAAAGCAAACTGAAAGTAAGGCCAATTGAAATAAAAACCTCTGCTCCAAGGTTATAAATGTGAGCGAAGCCTGTAAAAGTTGAGCAAATGGTCTTGCTGATTACCTCGGCTGATCAGCACAGGGCCTGGTTTCCAGAGCAGCTGGTGAAGGAGCTTCGTGGGACTGACCACACATCAGTTTTCAACATGGTTGAAGACCATTCTAATTGGACAAATTTCATCACAACTACCTTGTGAAATGCGGCAAATCAAAGGCGTATTTGGGGTTGGGGTTTAACTTAAGGGGACGATGATGATTTGAAGTCAGTGCCTCTCTTACCCATGCCGCTCCTTCTGATATTCCCATCTTTATCATTTGCTGTTTGCTATTTGTTGAAGTCAATTTTGTTTCAAATAATTTGCTATTTGTTGAAGTCAATTTTGGTTCAAATAATTTGCTATTTGTTGAAGTCAATTTTGTTTCAAGTGAGCACCTATTTCTTATCATGTGGTTCGCAACTGTGCATAATACTGAGCAATGTACACATGGGTGTTGTCTGTCTGTCTGTCTGTCTATGTGTGTGTGTGTGCGTGCCTCCGTGTGTGTGTCTCAAAGGCATGTTTGATTAAGGTGTGCCGGTGAGCCATATCAACAGCAGGCTGATGAAAAGCGAGATGGAGTGAGTTCAACACACAGCTGAGCGTCCTGGGATGCATTAAGTAATTGCGTTCTAGCTCCACAGGGGGGATCTTAATAGCACCGTAGTGTTCATAGTACAACGTTGCTCAAATAGTTGCATACATCTCTAGACTGCGATCCGATGCGAGCGCGTCAACAGCTTACCCCTCCTTGACAAGAGCCTTGAAATGTTCAAGAGGGATGAAGCCAGTGTGTTTGTTTACATGGAAATGTTTCCCTTCTGTCTGTTTGTCTGTCTTTCTGTTTGTCTGTCTCTCCGTCTTTCTGTTTGTCTGTCTGTCAACACTGATAGGAAGGAGGAGGAGGACTAACCTCTATAAGAAAGATTATGGTACACATGACATTACATTTTGTAGAGATGTGGTTGTTCCTACACACTGTGTGATCCATAAACTGAAGATATCGTATCATTTATTTCATATGTATCATAAGTGTTCAAATCTTATCTTATATCGCAGAGAGATCTGATTGTAATCAATTCAGTAAATTGCAATGTTCTGGCATTATAGTGTACATATAGAAATGCAGTCCACAAGACATGTCAATCAATATAGTACATTACAGATCAAGTATATAGTGAAATGTTAAAGGAAAAATCCACCCAAGAAGCAAAGTGTCACTTGCCACATCATCATGATGATGCGTTTTATATCATCATGATGATGTGGAATGTGAAACTTTGCTTCTTGAAAGTCCAATATCTTGAAAACTTGAATGCTGACACGCAAAACATTGTGGGACTGTATCAACAGGGGACTAATTCCAAAAATACCAAAATATAGTTTTTGAGTGGAGTCATGCAATTCATTTGACATCAAGGAAGACATACATGAATGGTTATACAAGACTACAACATTCACTAACTGGATGTTAATACGCATGACCTATATGGAGAAATAAAAACCAAGCTATATTTGATAAAGGACCAAACTTCTGGAAGACAAGACATTCTTCTAACCTCAGGAGTATTGTGAAACAGTGAGTACTCTTCTACAATGCTATATCCTGTTATAATTGGTTCCAATTTGCAAAAATGCAATTTGTCATCGATTTAAGTTAGAAAGGATGTGAAATCCTCCCGTGGGTTTTGTTAAGCCCCAATTGACTATTGCCTCAGTACCTCGAGTGGTATTGAGGATATTTCCTGAAATAATTTTTTTTCAAAACTTTTCAAATGGTCCAAATACATAACACATTCTGCCAAAACCACACATGTATTATGGATCAAATTTAACAGCACTCCTTGAAGCCAGTGAGCAGAATGCTCTGCAGTAGCTTATGTTGAGAAAGCATGAGGATCCATTAATTGTCATTGCGCCACGAGTGATGAATAACACCAGAGTTGTCTTAATTTTGGCTAGCAGCATACCACCCTGCATCCCACTGCTGGCTTGCCTCTGAAGCTAAGCACAGTTGGCCCTGGTCAGTCCATGGATGGGAGACCAGATACTGCTGAAAAATATATCCCAATGCCTCAGAACATTGATTGGGGACATTGCCCTGTGTAGGGAGCTGTCTTTCAGAAATAATGTTAAACGGGTGTCCTGGCTCTCTGTGGTCACTAAAGATCCCATGGTACCTATCGTGAGGGTAGGGGTGTTATACCACATTCAAAACAACTCGGAAATCTCTGACTTCAGTGCGTTCAAAACAACTGGGAACTCAGAAAAAACGGGGAAAAATCGATTTGAACGGACATTCAATTCGGAATTCCACCTCTTTCTAGAGCTCTGACCTGAAGATCACTAAAGTCATGATTTTTCAGAGTTCCCAGTTTTTTTGAACGCGGCATTTACCCCGGTGTCCTGGCTAAATTCCCAATCTGGCCCTCATACCATCATGGCCACCTAATCATCCCCAGCTTCCAAGTGGCTCATTCATCCCCCCTCCTCTCCCCTGTAACTATTCCCCAGGTCATTTCTGTAAATGAGAATGTGTTCTCAGTCAACTTACTAGTAAAATAAGGGTTACATAAATAAATACAAATGCAGGCATGCAGGCCCAGAAAGCAACCCGTCTTTGTCTGCTGCTGCCCTGAAGGAGACAAGGCTGTCGCCTTTGATATTCTAATTATGATCCATAGAAAAGAGCCAGAGTTTAAGTAACCAATTTTTCTATCTCTGCAAATCCACACGCAGAACCAAGGATTATGGAGCCCATAGGAGTAGGTCAAATAAGAAAAGAGAATAGGCTGCTCAGATCTTTATTATGTTCTATATGGAGAAAGAACAATACTTTTAACGGTTTACTTAACTACCAGCGTAAATAACTTCAATCGGTGACATCAATGTGGTTCAAGGTGAATCCTTTTATTAGATGATATGCATTATGACATTTGCTGGTATACCCTCGACTTCTATAACTTGGTCTGACTTTTTCCACACGCATCACCTTTAGGCTGTGTCCCAGATGGCACCCTATTCCCTAGTTATGCACTATATAGGAAATAAGGTGCCAGTTGGGACACAACCTTAGACTGTGCAACGCCCCAAGGGCCTCCCACTCAGCAAAACAGAAGTGACATGTTTTGCCTGTCGCCCACCATCTCCCTCTGGATCGATACTTTAGCCACTGACAGACAGTCAGCCAGAATGAAAATAAAGCATGTACACAGCTGTTTCCTTTTTCTCATCTATTCAGAAGTGTTTGATACTGAAATCAAGATACAGCGCAACAGTGATGTCTGCTGCCTTGGTACTTTACCATCCCCCTAAAGTTAAGGTGACATTGAATGTACAGTGTGTGGATGACATCTTTAGCCTTATCTGTCCTATACCTGATGTATTCAAGGATGACAATACATGAGACTAACTGCAGTGTGGCAGGCTTCATTTCTATCAGTAACTTGATCTAATTAAAAGCCATTACTCCTGCAAGATATTTACCTTACTGCTAGCTGATTATTTTTTTTAAATATGGGATGTCAATGAATTATGCACAGACGTTAGTGTCTTATCTTTAACAGTGACAAACAACGTAGCTGAGCTTTGAATATTCCACAAAGGTGTATGCAAAACAGGCACACATCCTAAATAGTTCACCAAATAGCTACCCGGACTATCTGCATTTACCCTTTTTGCACAAACTATGTTTGACTCTATGCACACACACTGAACTCTACCCACATAATCACACATACTTACACTGACACTCCAACTCATACACACACACACACACACACACAGACACACACACACACACACAGCACGTACACACAAGCACACTGTCGCCACACACACACTTCCACACCCTATTATCTATCATGTTGCCTAGTCACTTTACCCCTACCTATATGTACATACAGTATATACCTCAATTACCTCATACCCCTACACATCGACTCGGTACTGGTACCCCGTGTATATAGCCAAGCTATCGTTACTCATTGTGTATTTATTCCAAGTGTTACAAATTGTTTCTATTAATATATTAAAATAGATATTATTGTATTCTGCATTGTTGGGAAGGGCCCATAAGTAAGCATTTCACTGTTAGTCTACACCTGTTGTTTATGAAGCATGTGACAATTAAAATCTGATGGCCAGGCACGACTCCAACACCATCATTAAGTTTGCCGACGACACAACAGTGGTAGGCCTGATCACCGACAACGATGAGACAGCCTATAGGGAGGAGGTCAGAGACCTGGCCGTGTGGTGCCAGGACAACAACCTCTCCCTCAACGTGACCAAGACAAAGGAGATGATTGTGGACTACAGGAAAAAAA